ATTGAAATTGACTCAAGAATAATATGAGGTGGAAGTAATCGATTATCAAAGGGAAATTTGAATGTTTGGGAGAAATGATTAAAGTCTCGAATTAAATGAGGCATGGGAAACTGGGGATATGTACACTCAAAGGAATGGCAGAGGATTTGGAATTCACTGTGTGAATTTATCAGGTTTCAATTATTAATTCTCACTGTTGTTTGCGTCTTGTTAATTGACTATTGAATAATTGATTTTACAAAGATAGAATATGAGAAATTCTATGCAACTACATCGATACAGAGGTTTGAGAAATAAGGAGTGTTAAACTAATGACACAGCAAAAGTACATTTAACGGCAAATCCATCTGAAATCCATCCTAAAACTTGCTCTGAGTGTATCAAAACTTCTTACGCACACCCTTTCCACTTGCCTTTATGTGTGTATTATACGTATAATATAATATCATCAGTATAATTTGGATGATGTGCTGTTCTTGGCGATTTTGTCATGAAGCGAGCGAGAGAGAGAGAGAGATGAGGAGGTGGGCGTGTGGACCTGGAAATAAAGGAGTTTCGTTTCTGCAAGACATATCGCTGGTGACTGCGAATAGGATATACCTTGCGTGTCTCATTATATCCTCAATTTATCCAAAAACACCATAGGGGACGTGAAAATATATTAGAAAGATCACTCCAGTACCATTCACGGTGCGTGGCTCCACTCAATGCTGAAACAATAAACTTGTCGTAACGTCCACCCACATTCACTTCAATAGCATCAATTACCCCATTTCACCCTTCACGCTTTTTTTTGTTCGATTCAACTGTTGTCTTGTGCCACGGGTGCTTTTTAAGTTAATTTCTCTGGCAGAGCCGATGAATTGAAGGCGACCCATTCACCCTATCTTGGGAGTGCTTGTGCGGCAAACCACATCGCTAGCATGTAGTCTTATCTAAATCTATGTAAATGACAGTCATGTTGACGGGGGAATACTTGACATTAACAATGCGCTGAACCAACGAGTGTGGCTTTATGCTGCAAATGCAGTTTTCATTGAAATTACCACGAGGAATTTTAATTCACTTGAACTTTTTTTGTTGTCAATCAACACACAAAGAGTTGTCTGGGTTGGAAATTAGTCTCTAACACCTCTCTTTCTTCTCCTATCTTTGCAGATTCAACGGTCGCCGCGCAGATGGATTGCAGTGTTTCATACAGTGAAATTAAATAACTTGTGATAATCCGTGTGATTTATAAGGCAAAGTTTTATCAGTGCTCCACCTTGTCGTGATACCGTGCGCGTTGGATGGCAAAGAGGGGTCTCGTGTTTGGGCAAAAAGTGAACCATACGGAGAAGAAATCTTGGGAGTGAATTTGAGTGATTTATGTGTGAAACTGAGTGTTTTTTCCCTTTCAGATCTCCCTTTCAGATATATTTTCTACATGCCGAGATATTTTTTATATGGGAAAAGTATATGAAGTATTGTAGGTATTTTGTGAAGAACCCTTTTACGCGTGTACATGCGAGTGCACAGTGGAAATGCGTACAAATGCTGAGTAGATAGTGAAGTAGCATCGAAAATGCATTATTGGCTGATGAGTTGACAATTTCTGGATAGTCAGCAACACATAACAATCAACTGAGGTATGTTTCATTTATTTATTTGCATAAATGTATGTTTTAGGGAAAAAATGCAAAAAATACTCAACATTGGATTTCTTTTTATAAATCGTTTTATCCTTCGTTATGGCCTTTAAATGCTATAAATAAGTGCTTTTATTGCGAGATGAAAACTCACTTGAAAACTGCACTGGAAAATAGAATTTTAATTACACTCTGGAATTGTCGATTGCACACATAAAAGCTGTTAGAATGGGGTGTACGCCAAGTGAAATTTAAAAATATACAGAACATAGCATTACCACAAGTGTGAGCTTTATTGGTTTTACAAGTAATTTCTCACTGTTGCCCCCGTGTAATATGGGAAGTCATGAGATTTATAGTTGGAGAAGCATTCTCACCGCGAATTGCCCAAGCAAATGATTTATGTGTAAAATTAATTTATGTATTTGGAACACTTAGAAATCTCAATGTGTTTATTTCTGAAAATAGCACTTACTAGAGAACTTGCGCCGGTGATAATGGCACTTGGTGTGGGCGGCCTAACAAGTTACTTGCGAATTGATTGAAATGAATAATATTAGCACAAGTAATAAATCGTTTCTAGACAATTTTCGATAGCTCAGCAATTGATCAATAAATTATGGATGAGCTCCTTTTCTCGCCTCTCACTTTTCCCGGATATTTTCCGTCTTCCCTTCCTCTCTCTGTAGACGGTGAGCAATGAATTTTGTCTGAGTTGTCCAAATTAGTAGCAGCTCTCAAGATGTAACCATCATCCCCTAAATACATATATATTTGGGGGAGTGAGGAACAAGAAATCTCTCTAGAATTGTCATGCCTTTTATTAGGATTTCTCTCATTCGTATTAACCGTTGAATTATTTGGCAGGATGTTGGGTGGCGTGGCCGGTCGACATGTGTCGACCAGAAGGAGAGGATCGTCGCCAATGGTGAGGCTCGGGGCCAACCTGAGCCTCTCGCTCGAGCATGGCGATGGACCCATTCCACCCCGTGTCCCCGCACGCCGTCGACGGGCTGTGACAACAAGCGACCACAAAAGTTGCGCTCTTATCCAGACGAGACTGAAACTTGGTGATATCATGTGAGTGTTTATGGATTAAAAGGGGTTCTCTTATGACCTTCCATAAGAGATATATGAGTTAGTACAGACATCGAGCTTGTTCTAAAAAGCTCCAAAGGGTTGTGATTGCGATACATATTTCGAACGGAAGCTTTCCTCTCAACCGGCTGCAGAGAGCTTTGTCCCAGTCAAGTGAGCTTTCACCACGAACAATACGGGCAAGTTCCACGTGTTTGCCTGCAACTTTCACCACATTGTGGTGAGTTAACCACCGAAATATCCCATAAATTAAAGTTTCTTGACCCATTTTCTCTCTCTCTAGAGCAGACAAATAATAGATGTAATTTAAATGGACTTGTTTTCCGCACAACTTTAAATGCTCTCTCGAGGAAAATGTCTAATGTATTTCTATCTACTTTTCTTTGTATTGAAAACAACACACTCAATATCCATTTACACTTATCGCTACCTATCAATGGACAATCTTGCCAATTAGTCGAATTATCTATATCGAAATGGAAGCGAAAAGAGTGTGATTGCAAGTGAATGGCGTGTAATTGTGTTCCAGCTGATTATGGTGGCAAGTTTGGGGTGTATCAGCTGGAAAAATGTCACTGGTATTGATGATTCTAATGTCAATCGATACGGAAGTTCGATGAACTTTTACATACTTGCACAATTGCACAAACTTCCTGTTGTGTGTTTCCCCTTTAGCGCTTTTTGCACACACAGGCTGGGGTGTGCTTTTAATTAAAATGACCTCCTGGCATGGTGCTCGTGCTATCCTTCGCAGAACTATCGAAAAACAACGATACAGGATGGCTTTTTGCCTTGTCAAAAATCATGGCTGACAAACGCATGCTTTAAAGTGGCTTTTGGAGGGCATGCAAGATTTATTTTTGCCCCATCGGAAAACTAAATCATAAACCAGCGTAATATCGCATTTCGGTGGTGTTTCCAGTGAATTGAAATGGAGCTAAAAATGGACATTCGTGAGAGGGTGAGTGTGTGCGAGAAAGGGGTGAAAAGGGGCTTGGATGTGTGAATGGAGGGAGAGTGGCTGCGAGTGTGTGATGGTGATAAAAACCGCCACCTTTCGCGTTCATATGCACTTGCCGCACTTAAAGCTCAACCCACTGTGTGGAGTACGCTTTCAGACCCGCTTTTCTCACCTGGTCCGTGCCTTTCCCTCTTGCTGGAATTCAACAAGGGTGACGAAGAGGAATGGAACATGCGTGTCAACCCTGAGAGTGTCAGGGTGGAAAAGAAAACTCCTTTCTCTGCAACTTTCATCCCATGCGCTCTCTTTCTATCACTTCTCGCTCTTGAGGCTCTTCTTTCTGATATTTTTCACTACACAGCTTTGGGGATGGGGAGATGCTTATGTTGTTGTTGAGGAGGTTTTTTTTTGGGGGGAAGCGGGAAAGGGGAAGGAAATTCTTGGAAAAATAGTGATAAAAAATCAACGCCGGTTTTGATAGATATTTTTCAGTGACTCCTATAAATATTAGATGTGAATATTTTTATCACAATTTCACAAATGTTTTCTTGAATTATATGTAATGTAGTTACATATATCCTGCATTTCCCGCCAATTAAGAGTTCAATTTCTTCAATTTTCATGATTTTGTTGATGCGTTGAAGCTATTTCTCTTGCTTTTTTACACACTCAAAAGGGTTGTTATTATATATTCTTCGGAAGGATCATTACTTTGATCGGTACATTAAACTATTTTCTTCGCCAATTTCTCGTCTTTGCGTACAAGGAGTCGCTGTTGTTGCCATCAGTGGTGGTTTAATTGTGTGTCAAGTGTGTAAGACTTGCTGTGCCCCCTCGTTTGCCTTTTCTCAAGGGATGCTTCTCAGTGGATGGGCTCACGCTACAGCGTACCCCGCTTTCGTGTGGGTCTCGGCTTGACGTGTTTGGACACAGGAGTGCACACCAGCGCTGGGGCATGAGAGCAAGAGGGAGACCTTCCCCAATGGCCATACTGACACACTTTCACCCCTGGCACACGACCGCTGTGTCTGTGTGCGTTCTCTGAGCGTCGAAATGCGCCTCCCCTGCCGCCCCACGAGCCGCCCCCCGTGTCGCTACAGCGTCGGGAGCATGTGGATGTATTGGCGAGGGGTGCTGGCTTCGCCTAGCTGCTCCAAGCGCCGATAATAGAGTGTACGGCAAACGAGCGAAATACGCGCGCTCTAACATTGCTTGCGTCAGTGTCGATAGAAAATCGCGTTAAAAATCATTAAAATCAAGTCCGAATCGGACAAAAAGTGTGTGATTTTTTCAATTAGTGTTTTCTGTGCGTGAATTGAGGATTATTTTCCACCAGGGCATGTGTTTGCGTGGACAAATGAGAGCGGTTTACTTGGAGTAACCAATATGGCCGAGCGGTCGTCATATAATAGCTCGAATTTGGAATTATTGACGGTGGGTTGCCCCCTTTTTATGGCTGGAAAATATCATCTGGCGAATGTGAAATCGATACAAATGCACTCTCTGTGCTCGCTGGAAGTGATTGGGCCCGCTGCGGAGCCACCAGCGGTGCCTCCGCACTTTGAACAGGGGCGCCCGCAGAGGCGCTCCGGAATTCACGAATCAACTCCCCTCGGAATGTTTAGGGGCTTTTCCAAACCCTGCCCCTGTCGCTGCTCGCGGAGGAACAGTGGAAAAGCTTAACTGATGGTTGGCAGGGTGAAAAAGTGTGAAATTGGATGTTGAAGAAGTCCATTGCAGGGCCCGTGAAAGGGCTTTTCGCCGTGGCCCCATCTTACATTACATCCGAAAAATTTTCCCATCCCTCCAGAACCACTCATTTCGCGCATACATTTTCATGTATGTATTAAGCAGCAGCAAAGAGCTTTCTCTCTCTCCCTCGTCCCGCTTTCGCTCTCCCTCTCTCCCTCTCTCTCGCGCTCATGAGTCTTCTGGGGGTTGAGGTGCTCCTGAAGGTGGCAGGAAAACGGGGGGCTACGGCACTTTGCCCCCTGTGCATCATCCCTTGTGCGGTTCTGACCGTCTGGACCTCCGATATTGCAACTTTTCCATCGTCACATCGTTTTTCTTCAGTTCCTTCCTCTGTGTGTGCGCTCCATCGCACTCCATCGTTCCGTAGGACGACATTGCTGCGTGTGTGTGTGTGTGTATGATTTCGTGGCAGTGTGTGTGCTGCTCTGGCCAAATATGACTTTTCCCGTGAAAGCTCCCCTAGATGGTGTGTGTGTGTGTTTGAGTTTGTGTGTGCTTAAATAAAACTTTCATTATATTATCGTAAAGTGTTATCGCGCGAATTAGAATTCTGTGTGCAAATGTTTCTTCGCATAAAAAAAGACAGTCTCTTCGGCACTGTCTCTTCCTCAACTTTTCTTATGCTCTCTTCCCGTCCCGAAGGGCCTTTCTCAGCAATATTCTCACATCGCGAACGCTGAGCAAGACATCCTGAATACATGTAATACAGCAGTTCGGTGGATGGAATTTTCGGTGTGTCCGTGTGTGTACATGATTTGTGAATGTGTCCCTAATTTCCCTCCCTCGCCCTTCTCTCCTGGAGAAGCGGAAACGGGGTGGGCGAGGGTGGTACACACGAAAAAGGAGTAGTGACTTGGAATACCGAGTGGCTTTCAGTGTACCACGTCAACATTGTGTGGCTTAAAAGCTTGTTCGATGAATGGTGTATGATTGTGTGTAAATGCCTCTATCAATAACTATAAATATTTTACTTTTAATACTATTTTAGTTGCCTATTTGTACGAAAAGTCCCCCAACAAAGTCTGCACAAGTGGTGCTGACTCTGTTATCAAATGCAAAAGTGTGATATTATGCATGGAAACTTCACAATACACATATTTAAAAAAAAAAACTGTCAATTTACACAGATGAATATGGAAAGTGAGAACAGCAATATTGCCATATAACTCTTCTGCAATCTCTTTCATCAAATACCCCATTCTCTGTCTGTGAAATGATGAATTTTCCATAGTGTCCATGTTCCAGAGTAGTTGAGTTTTTTGCCATATGCCACCATTGTCTTCGTGAAAAAGCTCTGCAAGAGATGGTATCGCGATTTTAATTTGATCTCTGGCCTCGATGGTGGGACACAATGGCCAGAAACGTTATCAATTGGGAGCTAAACGACACATTGAACACCACGATGCTTCATATTTGATGGCATATTCAGAATTATTTGCCACATATACACACATTTTTGACCCAGAGAAACCTCACAAAATAGGGAGCTTTTCACACTCTTTCCTATCTCAGCCAACCATGTACTCGTTTTTCCTCATTGAGTGGAGAAATATGGCTATTTTACTATTTACTCAACTATCTCATGCATGCACAATGTATTCACTCGAGTCATTGTGTGTGAAAAGAATTATTAATGAAAATTGCTTATTAAAATTTGAGAGTCATATCTCTTGAGCTATTTCCCTTTCCTGTGACACAGCAACAAATTTTTCACCAGGCTCGCTCAATTGATTGTGAGAAGCATGATGATGTGAAATTGTCTAACGTGTATTGGTTAATTAATACGTTTGATCCTGCAGGTGCTCTCTTTTTTGCCCGTCTTTTGAAGTTTATTTATAAATGATCCACCCTCCGCTCAGGCACTATGCGTTAGTCGACGCAATTTCTATACCATCGATAAATGTCAGGATTTTAATGTCAATGAATTTTCCCGAAAATTTGTTTGTAGATTTTTTTTTCACCATGGGAGACAAAGTGAAGGAAGTGTGACAAATTCCCGAAGGGTGGCTCCCCTTTAAAGAGTGCCCCAATTTAATTATGTATCATACTTTTTCGGCATTCCGTGGGAATATTTTATAAGGCACGTGAATTATTGGATCTCCTTCACTCTGGATATATATATATATATATGAACATTTTTGTTGGGCGGTTGAATCCTCATGAAGTTACCTTTTTTTATACACTCGCCTATTCTATTATTCAGAATTTTTTATTTTTTACCACTCTCTAGTGTGTTAGATGGCATGTGTAAATGTTAATCATTCGTATTTACCGTGTGTGTCGCTATTTCTCTATCACACCCAAATGTGTGCCATATGGGAAATAATTTAAAAGTGAAATTAAATGTTCAAATGGTGAAAATGCGTAGAGAGACAGCATGTAATGAAAAAAATGGCCCGCAAATGTTCATGAGGTGATGAAAAGCAGAAATTGCAGGTCTCATTTGGGTGGAAAAGTTTCAGTGACAGACCAAAAAGGCAATTGCTCCATATATTGTGTATTTAAACAAATTGTGGTAATATTTTAGCATATGTACGTTGCAACGGTTGACATTATTCATATGGATACGCTGTGGTATTCTTGCGGGAAGTATAACTGCAAATTGCGTAGACAAAATAGTTTTGTTTATTCCATTAACCTTCTTTCGTTTGCTGCTTTTCAATTTGCGAAATTTTATGAAACTTTTTATCCACACATACAATATGAAAAGCCAGACAGTTAAAGCCATTTCACTTATTTAGAAAGTTTTGCCGGACTTGAAACGCCTCAAATACAGCCACAGAATATATGTGGTGAAAAAATATCGTATAGAGAGACTGTGAATAATTTAACATCCAGTAAATATCAGAAGAATTATTGACTCTCCACTGTGTATATAGCATTTAATTGACATTTTACAGAGCATGTGCTCCGAATATCTCAGTTTCTCTCTCTCTTTCGCTATTCTGCCAAGCTCAAAGTGGCAGAAAGCTGAAATACCCTTGTGAGACTTTCACATAACAATGTCCAAAACATTCGGGAATTTGTCTTGTTCTCGGTTGGTCGACATAACACCCCAAGATTTTCAGAAAATCTTTATAGATGGTGTAAGTCAGATTTATGCCGCACAATAAATGTGATTTTTTACTTTAATGTATTCCTCCAAGCATTGGATGAGCATATGGAATGAGCTGTGTTGAGTGGGACATGTGGGTGATTTACACTGAGCCCATTTATCGAGAAGTGAATAATAATGCATAAAACTTCTTGCAAAAGTACACAAAGAAAATCTACATAAACAGTCTAAATTGCACAATTTCATATTTGTTAGCTTGTGCCTTTTGTACATAAAACTGCTCCGCGTGACGACTTGAGAGCTGAGATTGAAAACTTTCATGCAATGACGATTCTGATGTTGACTGCATGGATCACTTCTGGAGACCCTTTGTTGTCGCCCCATTTAATAAATTAGCGCTGACACAAGAACTGCAGTTGTATATTTCTATGGCAGAGTGTGCATTTCTGTGGTTTTTCTGTCTAACACAAAAGGCCTTCCCTTAACGCATTATATCTGCACTTCAACTATTGCAAACGTTGGACGTTGCAAAAGTTTCCGAATGAAAACTGGTATTTACACTTTAGCGCTTCAGCTTGAAGAAAAAAAATGACTTTAAAAAACTTTGAGTTCATGAATATATTCAAGCATTTCACGTATAATTTCTCTCGGTTTGAATTTGCACCCAAGATCGTGACACAGTCCACCCATTATTTCTACATTTTCACGCATGTACAGAGAGCAGTAGTTGGGGGAATGAATATTTTTTTGCAACAATCCCATTCGAATGCAATTCTTCAGGAGACACAATAAACTTTTGCTGGCAATTGCATATTGTGCAACGTGACACAATGTAATTTATTCCAATTTCCTCCGCACACACCTTTTTTCCTACATTTCCCTTCTCTTTGGCCATGGGTGTGGGGAGATGAATGTGTGTCTATATTTTCTTGGCTATTACCATTATACATAGCAGCAGTATCACAGTTGACCCGAAGTTATTGAATTCAATTGAAATGCTCCAATTTGAATTAGCGAATGCAGATCCTAAAAAAATCCTCCAGCGGATCCATAATTAAATTTCTCTCATAGGTTTTGAATGAATCTCGATGCTGTGGTATATTTTCTACATGGCGACTTCCAGCTATGGAAAATTGATTTGTGAAGGGTGTGAAGCGTGTTATGCATATTCTCGTGGCTTTGCCGTCCAAATGGAGAATCAATGAGTGGAAAAACACAGAGAAATGTATTTTCTGGGTAATTTCCACGCAATCTCATTGAAAAGTCACTCTCTAAACCTCCGTTTCTCTCACTCAAAGCTGGCAGAATGTATGGTGAAATATTCTCACCAGGCGCCTCCATTGTACCAGGCGTCCCCATCGTACACATGATTGAGAGAAGCTTTGTCTCATGTGCAATTTATGCCTTTCTCTTGCAATCCCCACAGACGCGGTGTGTGTTGGAGGACAATGGTGCATTTTTCTTGGTCGCTGGGGGAAAATGGAGAATAAATAGATTTGTATCGCAGAGGAGTGCAAGAGAAAGGCAGAAGAGTGGTTTCATTCATGGGCGTTTCATTAATTTCAATACACTCACACTAAGGAGCAACAGAGTGAATTGAAGATGTGCGGTTTGGGGTGTATTTTGAACCCATTGTACGTGTTTCCGTTTTCACATCTTTCTTTCCCTGCACTGGCTTTAGTGACATAAACGGCCAGCACAATGGACTGAATCGTGAGATGACGTGAAAAGAAATCCTACGATGCCGTGGCAGCCGGTCATGAAGTGTGACTGCATAGAATGAAATGTTGCGCTTCGTTGTAAGGGATACTTTAATTATTGGAAAAGTACCATTGAGTGCATGGTAATGGAGTGGCGAAGTCAAGGAGCTCCACAATCAAGGATTCATGGTCTGTGGATTGGTAGTGTGTCAGCATCTAGTCTCGAGCTTCCGTCCATGTATGGATTGGCGACAATCTCAACTCGAGGGTCGTGGTCTGGTGCCGCTCTCTCTCTTGTGGCTGCTCAGATGACTGGCGTGACGTATCAATGGCGCAAATAGTGTGTGTGGGCGGCTGGAAATGCTAAAGTGAGCATGTGTCTGTGGCAGTGTGGGCTGATGGAGGACGTACTGATGAGAACTCCGAGGCGTCACAGGCTGATGGCCGTGTATTTCGAGATGCCGCACAATCTAGACTGGAGAAGGACTCAAATAAGTCATGGAAAATGCAAGATGTCCTGTGAAAAACAGTGCTATTTGATTTTCTGTGCGAGAGAGTCTAATTGATGAGAACAGAAATACACTCTGGGTTATGTGATTTTCTCAGCACTAATCCTATGTAATCACTGCAAGAAGGTCAATTATTGCTAAATATCACCATCATTAACTCCCGTCCTGACCTTTGGTATTGCTTCCTGCGTCCTTTCTCGGAATTTTTCAGCAACGCAGCGTGATTTTTTTCCAAGAAACCGGTAGTGACTCTTCAATTATGATACTATTCGGCGAGAAGTTGGGGCAATGAACTTTGATTAAATTAATTCGCAAGTCATAACTCCCACATAAAGCTATCTAGCAGAAGAAAATTACAGACTAGTCTTGTTCTTTGTGAGGACGTTCCATGGCAAAAATCATAGACGAAAATCCATCAGTTCTGATTCGTGGTAATTTGCCATTTAAATGGCATTCCTTATAAATTAGAAACTACATTCTATCCAGACTTTCTTTCCACATCATATTCTCTGGCAAGCACACAAGACATTCATATCATCATTGTCATCTTTTAAAATTCTAAATAATTGAGTAATTTATTCCGCCTCTCCATTTTTGGTAAATGTCAACCAATTTCGTGGAACACATTGCAAATTTTCGCGAAATAATATTACTTCATTATATGATTGAAGCAGAAAAGCCGCCGTCTCATTGAATTCCTGCACGGAATTTCTTAGAAAAATGTCAATTAATGAACTTTTCTTGCATGATGTGATGGCGAAGAGCGCCCACGCTCTTACAAAGTTGGGTTCAAGTTCAATTTCTCCTAACTATGGGGAGTTTCTATGCAAAAAAGCACCATCAACTCTATTTATGATGTTGTCCTTTCAGGGGTTCACCTTCTGACTCATGTCTATCTGAAGCCTTTCATGATGTTTTAGCTTGGTCATTTTCATGTTGCAAGTGAGAACATGTCGTGGAGATTTCACGTCACATCGTGAATCACTGTCCCAACAGTTTTCTATAGTGATTTCCCCCTTGGGAAAATGTGTATGTGTCATCACAATGCCGTCACTCAGGGTGACTGAAGTGATGCTGAGCACTCCACTCTACAGTGAGGCCCAACTAGAAAGGGATGTTTCGCTCTCCCAGATTTCGCACTAGCGCCCCACACTCCCGGGAGCGGTTTCCTCGTGAGCGGGGGGACGGTGTGTCATGTGGCACGCGTACATGATGGTTCTTGTGTGTGGAGAGTTGAAGGGGCTTGACTTCGTGTGTGAGTTCGTGCTGAATGTGGACAGTTTTTTTTATGTAAAAGTTGGCGACTTATGCGCATCGGGGCTCCTCTTATTTTTGCCGCCCAGCTACTCAAGCCCCCCGCATTACAGCGCCGGGGGATAATTTGTTTGTATGTGATGGGCAAAATGGAGACGGGATGTCTGAATGCCCACACCAAAATCTTCCACTATTGCGTATAATATAGCGAGATGACAAGACACGAGCTCGCACACAGATACATCACACTTTTGTTCTCGCGTCCTCTTCCTTCCAACTTGTTCAAACTGCTGATTTAACCTCTTATTTGTAGTATCTTCTTTATTCTCTATCACTCTTCTTGGCTCAATGAGAACCAAGGGGAGACTTTGCTGACTTCTTCACTACTTTGAATTTCTATCTGTGCTGTGTGGAAAACTTTTCCACCGTCTCTACATATAGCGTTCTCTCATACTCTCACTTCATGCTCATTCACCTTTGGGTTTTTTTTTCACTACTCGCACCCAAAAGTGTCCGACGTGTGTGACAATGATAAGAAGGAAAAAGTCCAACAGACAAATATATTTTCTTGTGGTGGAGAAATTCCTTTCACATTGTTAATTAACTAGGTCAGAAAGCTTTTCATTATTGCTCCACTATCTCCTCTATAGACTTGACATCGATTTTACTGAAAAGCTCTCTCCTCTTCAGCCGAGGCCCATTGGCGCAGCTGAAAGGGAGATCATTATCGTACCAATTTATTTGAATTTAGCCTCGTCTCAATGGGATACGGAACTTAAAAAATTGCTTATTCTCAGCTTTTCCTCAGTGAAAACTTTTCTAAATAAGACATACCACTCGAAGGGTTTTGCATGTCGCCACTGAGGAGCATTTATCCGGCTTCTCACTCACTGCACAACCCGGCTGACTGTGCGAATGTTTGCGATCGATTATTGTGTCTGTTAATCGTGAAGTCAGCCTATATTCTTTCTAATGTCTTGCTTAGAATAGTGATTAATATCTTTTCACACCAATTTCCCCCATAAATTAGCTTAGAATGTGACAACAGGATCTGTACAAAAAAAGGACGAGTAAAATTTTGAAAATAAATTCTAAACTCTCAACAACTCGCACTTTTTGTTGCCAACCGGGTTTTGTCAGGCTGAAGCACCAATGCTGTTGGCTTCAAAGTCCGTGATTTTGTAGTTAGTCAAGTGAGAGGCGGAGGCGAGAAAAACAGCAGAGAATAGACGCAGTCTTTGTAGTGAATGTTGATTTGCAATAAGAGAAAAGTATCGTAGACAATTCACTGGGTGTCTGCGTGTGTGTTCCACAGTAGGGCTGCTGTTTTTTCGCCGACACTGTGTCTGCATGAAGGAGGGAATTCTTTGCCAAATTTCCTCCAAACTAGTGCCACATCTTCGGCCAAGAGGAGATCTAGTAAATCTGTAAAAATCTGCTCAGTACTGCGTGGCCTTTCGTCGTGGCATTGTCTCTCTTTGATTTTTCTCTCTCATTTTGGTGGACATAAAAGGAGTTTTTGAGTGGTGTGAGAGTGTCAGCATGGTGGTTAATTTGAGTGCGGTACTCCTCATTTCACTGATTTTCAATTGGTAGACGACTCCTTTTTTTCCGCCCAGCCCATTCTACATTTCATGCGGAGTGCTGCATTTGACACTGTTCGTGAATAACACGGTCCAATTGTGGCTGTAACCCGGAAAATAGAGAGAGAGAGTGGGTGGGGTCGGTGAAAAGCTCTTGGGCGCACTTGTGAAAGTTCCTTCCACTCTGGGACACAATTAAGGCATCACAATTGAAATGGATAGTGAAATGGTGAAATTGTAATGACGAAAACTGTGTCAATTTATCATCTTTCTTGTGATCCTTAACAGGATCACACGGCACAGAGTGCGGCTGGATGCAAAGACCGCATCGGGCATGGCCTCAAATAGTGCGGATATAATTTGTGTCTATGTGGAGAATATTCAAGCCTGAAGGAAATCCCATTTGATGGTCTTTTTGTGACATGATGGCAAATTAACTATTCGAATCTAATCTGAGCAGAGCTCATCCAGCTGTATTTTGTCCCGTGCTATATATGCAGCACATTGTGTGCCAGTGACATGATTGCTAACGCTTTCTTCTGCACCTTTCAGGTTGGCAGCGGCTCAGGAAGCGGCGCTAGCGGGACAAGGCTCCACCAGCGGGGGGCACAAGGGGGCCCATCGCTTAGCTGATAGAATGGGCGGCCCAAGTAGTCAGGCGGGCCAGCCTCCGGCCGGAGGCGGGCCCACCTCATTGTTTATCCTCACTGAGGATAACCCCATTAGGAAGTACACACGATTTATTATCGAATGGCCGCCCTTCGAGTATGCTGTGTTATTGACAATCATTGCAAACTGTGTAGTGCTGGCTCTGGAGGAGCATTTGCCTCACGGAGACAAAACCATATTGGCTCAGAAATTGGTGAGCTTGGCGCATCACACTGCCTAGAGTGGATGCAGGATCTCATTGATACCAATGCATATTGCAGGAAAAAACGGAGGCCTACTTTTTGGGCATATTCTGTGTGGAAGCTTCGCTCAAGATCATAGCCTTAGGGTTTGTGCTGCACAAACACTCCTACCTCAGGAATATATGGAACATTATGGATTTTTTCGTTGTAGTGACGGGGTAAGTGACCCACTCTTAAATATCCTTTAACCCCCTCATGACTCACAGACATGCTGAGACATATTTTGAAACACACCCGAGGGTTCATTTGAAACACAATACACATACACACACATTACTCATGCCGAATGACACATTTCTGTATAAATAAATAAGCAATATTGTGGGTATACTATTGTGACTGTAATGCGGGAGCGGATGCACATACCATGTCATCAGAAATCTAATCAAATTCTACAACGCGATAACAGTTCTATGACGATCTTCGCTGAGGCAAATGTGGACGTTGATTTGCGTATGTTACGGTCCTTTCGTGTCTTGCGGCCACTTAAACTAGTCTCTAGGATACCAAGTAAGCGGTCCGAGGCAACTACACGTTAACTTTTTTTGTTACTTCTCTTTGTAACACTGTAATGAGCGAGCTAACGAGATATCTCAAATAGGAAAATACGATAGAGCGTCTCTTAATTGTGTTGTGCTAATTTGTATTTCCGTTTCTAGCGTCATGACTAAACCACATATATAGGTACATTATGTACTCCACCTCAGAGTCTTTGAATGCCTATATTTAGTGTGAAAGAATTTTGTCAAGCAGGTGAGACATGTAGTGTCTCAATGAGTTTTGGAACACATTTATGAAGATTCAACATGCTGCTCCCATAGATATTTACAGCGACAGTCGCGCTTCAATGCCAGTGGCAGTGATTCCTTGGCATGCAAGACAAGCCACTTGAGACAAATTGTTTGTAATTTCTTCCTGTCTTGCCCAAAGAGGCATCACTGCCGCTGGACAAGCGTTAGAAATCCTTAGTACTGTTTGATTTCTAGTGTGTAGTAAATTTAGAGTGAAATACTTTATTCATAAGCTCGTTATTATCCGGTCTATAGATAAATCGAGAGAGAAAAAAAAATTACTGTACTCAACGTAGACATGTTATGATAATAGCCAAATATAATTAGGTGAAAAATATATCATGTTATCCATTTAGTACGGAATTTCTAAGTTTAGATTACCAAAATACATCGTGAAGCCGTAATTTGTGATCAATAGTGAGGGTGAAAGTTATTTTTGGTGATGAACAGCGCTAGGCCTATAGTAATAATTTATTTCCTTTCACACATTTGCTCTTCTTTTTCAGATGAGAAAAACATACAATGTTATCCCTATGATTTCTAGAATCATTCGGTGTGTTCTTAATCTTAAATCATTCTTAGATTAAATACCATAGAGAGACAATAAATGATTTCATATTTGTTGCTAATGGGAAGCTTGTTTACTAGATTGGCAATGAGTATTTTTTCTTTCTTGTCATTTCACGTAGGTTCATCACAATGTTCCCACAAAAGGGGCCCGAAGTAGATCTCAGAACATTAAGGGCCATACGTGTTCTACGGCCCTTAAAATTAGTGTCTGGAATTCCTAGTGAGTAGAAGATTCTATTAATCTTTTTTTAGCCATAGCACTGTCTCTTCCCTAACTCTTATCTACGATATCTTTCCTCTCTATATTCTTAATTATTTTACCTATAATTCTACTTATTTACCTTTCAAGCTAGATGGTTTTTTAGGTTTTTGGTTCTCATAGAAGTTTGACTACAAATGTTTTCTCTATCTGTCAGTAAATCTTTTCTAAATGTGTTTTGGGAGTATTTTGCAAGATCAACACTTAATTGCCATATTTATTTTTTCACTTTACAGGTTTACAAGTAGTTTTAAAATCTATAATAAAAGCAATGGCGCCGTTGCTTCAGATCGGACTCTTGGTGTTGTTTGCGATTGTCATATTTGCAATCATCGGATTGGAGTTCTATTCTGGTACTCTGCACAAAAGTTGTTATAGTTTAGAGGATATAAGTAAGTAATGATTTTTCTCATATATTTGTGTTGCCTATAAAATGTTGAGCGGTCATTTTGTGTTCCAAAATCTATATTTACTGCCTTAACTCGATGATGAGCGGCTGATTTGATGCTCTTTTCTCAATGCCAACAGAAATAATAATTAAAGAAGGTGAAATGGCTACACCTTGTAACTCAGACAACGCAACGGCTGCCCCGGCGGGCGCCTACGTATGCAACTACAATCAGAGCACCTGTATAGAACAGTGGGAAGGACCGAACTTCGGCATCACCAGCTTCGATAACATTGGTTTTGCCATGTTGACAGTATTTCAGTGCATAACTATGGAAGGCTGGACCGCAATACTGTATTGGGTAATTGGATTTTGTTTGGAAAAAAAGCATTTCTGCTATTCGGCCAATTAATATTATATTTCTTTTCACGTGTATTTGGCTCTTGGATGTTCTTATGTTTGGACAGTGGACAAAAGACAGACGCTCGACCCTTAATTTCTTCAACAAGTTCCTTTTCAACCTTCTCACCTCTTGACTTTTACCGATTTTGTCCTTCCTCAATGGAATTCCTGTAGCAAATTGATCAAATCCTCTCCAACGCCATTTCTTCTCCCTTTTCATTATGATGATATTTGAACAGAGAAAACAGACTGATGACATTCCAAATTAATTAGATGTTGCAATTTACTTGTTGTAATTTTGCACTATTTGAAAGCTATACTTGTGACAATCCCGAGCAAATTTATTTCCTTAATTTCAGTGACATTTGAGTTTCAAAATTTACTGTGTGCAGCCCGAATTGCTGTGTATATAATAGCAGTTCTCCGTGTGTGGGAATTGTGATTCCTTTTTCAAACAATCTCATAATTCAACAATATCAATTAAGTGTATTGCTTATCTACATTCCTGAACTTATGCACTTCCACTCTTGTGTGTCGAAACCAATTGCAAACTTTCACTCTGACTCCCTGACTCCCCAGGGGGATGATGATTGAAATGTTGGATGACTGTTGCTTCTATCGACACTTCTCAATGTGCTGAAGGGGCACGTGTTCCTCATCTAATGACGTTTTGCTTGATTTTCCAGACCAACGATGCATTAGGTTCAACATTCAATTGGATCTATTTCGTGCCTCTTATAGTATTGGGATCATTCTTTATGCTCAACTTGGTTCTTGGTGTTCTCAGTGGGTAAGTTGCCTCATAACTTGCAAGCTCTATCTCTCACGCTCAAGTGCTATCTCGCCACTAAATCCGATTTGGGCGGGAGAGGGAGACAATTGGGCCAAATTGCATTGATTCTTCGTCAACATTTTTAAGTGAATTTTCCAATGAGCGCGCCCGAGTGGAGCGACGAGCTCAGTTTTACAGATGTCGAAGTAAACAAATATTTGAGGATTCCATGGTGGCTTATTTGGATTGGATAACAATGGCAGGTTATTTTTCTTTACTCACTCTTCATCCTGTTGAGAGACATGCGAGGCCCCAGCAGAGCTCTCTCCTCCAGTAGCATCCTACCATAGACGAGACACTCTATTTATCTTTGCTAGTGCTGTTTATTGAACACCGTTTGTGTAGTCAAGAGTTAAGGGCCGGTAAAATCTCGAAATCAAAGATTTATACAGTGATTTGGAGAGTGTAGTAAAGCAACGTAATGCCTCTTCGTATATATGCTAAGCGTCTTGCTAATACTATTGCCACTGTTTCTCTGTCTCTTCCTTGTAGTGAATTTGCGAAAGAACGAGAAAAAGTTGAGAACCGTCAAGAATTCCTTAAGCTTCGACGCCAGCAACAGCTTGAAAGAGAACTTAACGGCTACGTTGAGTGGATCTGTAAAGCCGGTAGAGTACCCTGAGCTTTTATGCTAACCAACTCTTCTCCTTCCAACTAATTTTATTATATGCTCTGAAGAGACAAAGGAGAAGTTGTTGCAAATATATCAATCTGTAGTAGATGTGCGATGGGGCAAAATGTGAAATTGTCATTAACGTATAATTCAATCTCTCTCTCCCAACAGAAGAGGTAATCTTAGCTGAGGAAAGGACAACCGAGGAGGAGAAAATGCACATAATGGAAGGTAAAATTGTTACCATAGCGATAGAAAGTGTGCTTCTGGCCACATGCGCACGAAACAGTGCGGCTGATATGCTTCTGGCAGGGAAGAAAGCTCTGCTCTCTCACACACTTTTTTCCCTGCCGAAAGCCCGCCGATGTGAATGCCAACACTGAAAGGCAATGCCTTCCCCTTCTCTCTTCCATGCCAACAATCCTCGTGTCGCAGCTCGGAGGCGCGCTGCAGCGAAACGGAAGAAACTCAAAAACTTGGGAAAATCCAAATCAACAGATACTGAAGAAGAGGAAGCTGACGAAGACTGCGCAGAAGACGGTATGTGTTGTGGTTAGTCGTATTTGAATACCTAGCGTTCAAGAATTGGTTCGTTATCAATAACTCCAATCCAATTCAATCATTCATGATTGGTGGAAGTGTTAATAATGTTACATACAAATATTTCCTATACTTTCTTCCTTTTTGTTCCTATAAATAAAACTCTATACACATAACCGTCCAGAGTGTTGCAAAAAAAAACTCTTTCCAAAATTTTCACTTCAAAAACTTTCTCTCTCTCTCTTTAGTTGATTTCTCTCATTTCTCTTAGTCAAAATTTCGTTAGGCAAATGCTTCTTTTAGTTGAATGTAGTTGAAAGAAGGAAAAAAAAGAGAATGTAAAAAATAACAGCAATGAAGTGCAAAAGAGTTAGGAATAGACTCTTGCTGTGATGAAAAGCTTCTCATGTCATTTCTTTTTGCAGTCGTTAAACGAAAAAAAGGTAAACGGAACACACAGAGAAAAGGTGCCCCAAAAATGGCGGGAAATATGCGTAAAGAGAGATCTCGTATTGTTTTGAAACTTTAATGGTTTTTACTGCAAATTCCCCATATTTTGTTATCGCTAAAAATAAAACTGGCCAGAGACAGTACAAGACGAGCAATGCAGTATCGTGATGAAAATAGTGAGACACAATCTCCTTTTTGCAGAAAATTCAACAGTAATCGCGACAGACTTTATATCACTTCACATTATCGCCAAAAATTACCATATACTATTCTTTTTTTCAAGATGTCATGTCAAGTGCTGAATGGGATGAAGCTTAGAGACTGAATTTATAGCTCACCTAATTTGATATCAGCTGACAATTTTCTGAAAAATCCTAGATATTCCACTATTTTTCTCATGAATCTGCAAGTAAAGCGTGTTAATAAACCTAAATGTAAACACCCGCAAAAGAATTATATAGCGTTTCTCAATCCATAGATGAATTACCAATAAATTTATGGTTGGCTAAAGCAGCTCAAATTGCCCGTTAATTGTGTGCTCAATTAATAGCGATATAAATCAGAAATATTCGGGAATATGAATTTCGATTTTTGTTGCTAGATATTGTCGCGATAATCGTGTGAAAGTAAACATAATTCCTAAAGTTGACACCATATTTTATTACCCCAGTTTTTCCCCCATTGAAAATGTATTACTCTGCTATTGCACTGACCAATTAGCAATTATAATTTACTCAATGCGAATGTGTGGAGGAAAAAGTTCTCCACGAACACACACTCACATCCCTGTAACAATCGTAACCACTCTTAGGTGGAATGTATTTTTGAGAACGGCGAGAACTTAATCATATAATTCATGGAAGAAGAGAAATTAGAAAATATGCTCTGTTGATGAACTCACTAAGAGTCGTAGAATTTATTCTATAATAACCGCTTCTTACACTAGTTTGTATTCAATTTAATATTCACATTAATATATTTTCTTTGTTTATACAACTAACCTTAGATAGTTTTTCATCTTTCTATTTGATCATCTTAGTAGCGAATTACTAGAATTCTTGCTTCTCAACCACATTTCAATACTTTTTTTCGTACTAGTTCTCAAGTTACTTACTTTTGTATACTTATGTTACGGAGAAATGTAATTTATCATTCCTCTCTAAACTGTATAAGATTTAGCCAAATATATATTTTTTTTATTCACTCTATATAACTATAAAAAAAAGTATTACTTAATGCAATTCGTAGAATAACATTCCTTATGACGCTATGAAGTAATTTGGTGAAAACGAGGAGAAAACTTACATAATTAACATTATTTCTTTAGAGGATTTCTTGTAGCATGTAATAACCCTATACTGAAATGTATTTGAATGAGTTTTTCACCGCGTCGCAAATGCGAAATGATGTTGATTTTCTTTGCACACGACTCATGCAAATGCCGCTGTGCAGTAAATCGTTAATTATTCCGCTATTTGCCGCCACACTACTGTCACATGCAATTAACATTTCTCGTACTCCTTTTTGCAGGATATTTAAAATCAAAAGTGAAATCGCAAGGTCGCTGCAAGGGATTCTGGCGAGCTGAGAAGAGATTCCGATTCTGGATTCGACACACCGTGAAGACGCAGTGGTTCTATTGGTTCGTTATTGTCCTTGTATTCCTCAACACGGTTTGTGTTGCCGTAGAACACTATGGACAACCAAAGTGGTTAACATCGTTTCTCTGTGAGTTGAAATTATTCATTTTCATTAGCATGAATGTTGTGTAAAAATCTCTCTTTTATGTGATTGTCTTTTGATGCAAATCCCTCGTTGAATTAGAGGAGATGAGCCGCTGTGAGAAAGGGTGTAATGTTATGCAGAGCAAGCGCCATGGATTATCCTCTAATTCAACGATAGAAAGCTTATAAGATCAATTCTGTGGAAGAAATTATTGGGTTGCTGAATACGGAATTGCTCTATTTTGAGGATTTCTTCTATTGTCTCCTTGCTCCATTAAATTTAACCATTCTACTTTTTACCGCTTAGCAGCACAGTGAGCGACTCATTCTTCCTGACGCTCTTCTCTATTGTTTTTAACACCTTGAATTGAATTACTCATTTTGCGATGTCTGCAAGACTGTGAAAACAAGCAATTAGGCGCAGAAAAAGCGCTGAAAAATGTCCTTGGCATTCGGATTATGGTTTTATTCATTTTTTTCCCGGAATTTTACATCGATTCCTTGAACGAATGAGTCCTCAAAGTACTGCCGAGCGGTAAGAAATACCAATGGATACATTCGATTGTGCACGGGAACAGTGAATGACATTCGTCAAAATGATCCTCTTCGCACTCAGCAACCTCAATAAGGACCGCGCAACCTACATGGAACATTCTTTGTAGATTACGCTGAGTTTGCCTTCCTGGCACTCTTCATGATGGAGATGTGGATCAAGGTGTACGCCCTTGGTCCTCGGATCTACTTTGAATCATCGTTTAATCGCTTCGACTGTGTCGTGATCAGCGGTTCGATATTTGAGGTGATCTGGTCCGAGGTCAAGGGCGGCTCGTTTGGGCTGTCAGTCCTGCGAGCCCTGCGTCTGCTGCGCATCTTCAAAGTGACCAAATACTGGTCCTCGCTGCGCAACCTTGTGATATCGCTCCTGAACTCAATGAGATCCATCATCTCGCTGCTGTTCCTGCTCTTCTTGTTCATCCTCATATTCGCATTGCTCGGCATGCAACTCTTTGGTGGCCAATTCAACTTTCCAGATGGCACACCAGCGACAAACTTCAACACATTCCCCATTGCACTCCTCACAGTCTTTCAAATACTAACCGGCGAAGACTGGAATGAGGTCATGTATCAAGGTATTGAGTCGCAGGGTGGACACAAAAAGGGAATGATTTATTCACTGTAAGGATCACTCACACTTCTCCCGGCGCAAGCTTATCTTGGCCGCTTGCGGATGAATGGATGCCGCTAATGCTCTTTTCTTGCAGATATTTTATCGTTCTGGTGCTATTTGGTAATTACACTCTGCTGAATGTGTTCTTGGCTATCGCCGTCGACAATTTGGCCAATGCCCAAGAATTAACGGCGGCCGAAGAGGAGCAAGTGGAGGAAGACAAGGAGAAGCAATTGCAGGAGTTGGAAAAGGAAATGGAGGCACTTCAGGTGTCCGATGGTTCACCGCCGCGAATGGACATGGGACCATCGTCACCCACGCGCAATAAGAGCAAGAAGAAGGAGGAGGAGAAGAAAGAGGAGGAGGAAGAAATACCGGATGGACCTAAACCAATGCTACCATATTCTTCGATGTTTATTCTTTCGCCAACAAATCCGTGAGTGTCTGCTAATTAATTTACTTAATGTACACTTTGTGTGAGCTTCTCTCTTTGCACTCCCTTTTTGCAGTATTCGACGGGCGGCACATTGGGTGGTAAACTTGCATTACTTTGATTTCTTCATCATGGTCGTTATCTCATTGTCATCAATCGCTCTGGCGGCGGAAGATCCGGTGGAGGAGAAGTCAACGCGAAATGAAGTTCTAAATTACTTCGATTACGCCTTCACTGGCGTTTTCACGATAGAGATGTTACTGAAAATCGTAGATTTAGGTATAATACTGCATCCGGGCAGCTACTTAAGAGAATTCTGGAATATTATGGACGCTGTCGTTGTCATATGCGCTGCAGTCAGCTTTGGTTTTGATATGATGTGAGTTTCATTTGGTGTCTGTGAACACCTCTGCGGTTTCGCATGACAAATGCCTTTTGCTCTTTCCCTCTTGCAGTGGAAGCAGTGCTGGTCAAAATTTATCAACGATCAAATCATTGAGAGTACTTCGAGTACTCCGTCCATTGAAAACAATCAAACGTGTTCCGAAGCTGAAAGCTGTTTTCGATTGCGTCGTTAACTCACTCAAGAACGTTATAAATATTCTAATTGTGTACATATTGTTTCAATTCATTTTCGCTGTAATTGCTGTACAATTGTTCAATGGAAAGTTCTTCTTTTGTACGGATGAAAGTAAACACACTGCCGAAGAGTGTCAGTAAGTATTTTATCACTGAACTCACCCATTTGTCCTTGCACAGCCAATTAATGTCTCTCCCCTTTCTTCCACTCCAACCTTTCTAGGGGGTCATACTTTGTGTTCGACGGCGACGAGCAATTGCCACGGGCAGAGCCTCGGATATGGTCAACACAGAGCTTTCACTATGATAACGTGGCGACAGCAATGCTAACGCTCTTTGCTGTCCAAACTGGTGAAGGATGGCCCCAGTGAGTATCGCTTTACATTGGGGACAATATGAAAAATCTTATTTCCCGCTCTCAATCCGTGTCGTCTTGCAGGGTGCTTCAGAATTCCATGGCCGCCACCTACGAGGATAAGGGTCCAATACAAAATTTCCGCATTGAAATGTCCATTTTTTATATCGTGTACTTCGTAGTTTTTCCATTCTTCTTCGTTAACATTTTCGTGGCCTTGATTATCATCACATTCCAGGAGCAAGGCGAAGCTGAGCTGCAGGACGGCGAAATAGATAAGAATCAGGTGAGGAAGCGCATCATTAAGTGTTCATATTTATTGCACAACATCAACTGGATGAATTTCATGCACTTTATCAAACTGAATACACAATGAGATTTTTCTTGCATTTCTTTCCAGAAATCGTGCATCGATTTTACGATAGGAGCTCGTCCACTCGAGCGATATATGCCAAATAAAAGGAATAGCTTCAAATACAAAGTTTGGCGGATTGTTGTATCAACACCGTTTGAGTATTTCATCATGATGCTCATCGTCTTCAACACACTCTTGCTCATGATGAAGGTATGCAAAACCAATCGAAAAATCCGCGATGAATTGAATGTAATTGAGAAACTTCTTTTCTCCGCCTTTGCAGTATCATCAGCAAAGCAAGATGTACGAAAAGTCGCTGAAGTATCTCAACATGGGCTTCACGGGAATGTTCAGTGTTGAGACAGTCCTCAAAATCATTGGATTTGGAGTGAAGGTGAGCATAAATCAAGCCAGGATAAATACGAAGGGAAAAGATAATATTATTGGACATCCTGCTTACTTATTCACTTTATCCCTGGGAACTTTTCCACTCTCTCTCTTCTGTTTTCTCGGATTCCTCATCCCTGGAGAAATCCTGAATTTGCCATCTCTTGAATATTGAAATCAAAAGTTTCACATGTAACTTCTTTAGAAAATCTTTGCAAGACATTTTGTGCATTTTTTCTCCTAGTTCTCTCAATAATAATTCCATTCACACTCTGTCAACCTTTCTTGCATATTGCGTGCTCTCCTTTCTTCTAATTTGAAATTTCGTGATTTGTTCAATTGCTCATGTCATGTGAAATGTTTTTCACTTGTAAAGTGAAATGCACTTCCGTGTTGTTGGCGATGCAACAAAGAAGAAAAGAAATAACTCTGACGCGCGCTGCAGATAATGTAACTCAAATATAGGAATTGTCTCTTCATAAAGGATAATTTTAGAGCTAGAAAAGGAGTATTGAGAAAGAGAAGTGAAAAGGCAAAAAGTGGAAAAAATAATGAAAGCGGAAATCAAATTTCTTAACACGCGATAAAATTGATTTTCTTGCCCCTTATTTACATAAGTCAATTAATTAATTTGATTCGAGTTGGAGAAATTGAATTTAGCAATTTGATAGTTTCATGATGCAAACATCATTTACTCAACAGCAAATCCTTATTATATTTCTCAATATCAAAAGAGAACTTCTTTCTAATGCAGATTATACATTTTTGCAGAATTTTTTCAAGGATCCATGGAATATTTTCGATCTTATAACTGTGATTGGGAGTATAATTGACGCCCTCGTAATGGAGTTAGGAGTGAGTTTCAGTGCAGTCCTCTGGCTTTTCACACAATAATTGGCAAATTTCTCTTTACAGACAAGTTCATTTAACGTTGGATTTTTACGACTTTTCCGTGCTGCACGATTGATAAAACTTTTGAGACAAGGGTACACGATACGAATACTTCTGTGGACATTCGTACAATCCTTTAAAGCTTTGCCGTACGTTTGCTTGCTCATCGCGATGCTATTCTTTATTTATGCCATTATTGGGATGCAGGTAATAATTTGTGATTATTTTCATTGGGGTGTTGTGGTTCTATTTTCAATTGGTTCAAGTTTAATTGGTCACATTCAAGGAGAGCGAAATCCAAAAAAGAAAATATCTCGAATTTTGTACAATTAGTATGGGTATTTCCAAATGGAGGTTCAAGTACAGAAATATCATCATTTACTACCCATAACAATTCTATGGCAATTTGATATTTATTAACTTTTATTCCATATATAGAGAAAATTTTTTATATATATAGAAATAGTTAAATTTCAACGGAATTTTTCTGCGAGATAAATAATCGCAGTTTTGTTAAATGATAAATTATTCATACAATATATACATAGATCAGCATGAGTGTTAACCAACATTTTCTCAAGCATTTTCTTCTCCTTCTCGTTGCATTTAGATAAACATTGAATAATCATATTTTATTTGTCGTTCTCACTGAAATATTATCAAGGTATTTGGCAATATGAAGTTTGATCCGGATACAGCACTGAATCGCCATAATAATTTTCAAACGTTCTTCGGAGCTCTTCTGCTGCTTTTTCGGTAAACCCATTCGTCGATGGTTGTTTGAGAATTGTATTAAAATATCTCGTACTTGAGCAAGAGCGCAACTTGAGAATCCATTACTATGTATTTGACTTGCTATGTCGGTTAGTTTAATGTATATACCTTGAACGAGGCATCATCTCGATTCGATCTATGATTTGAGTTGTTTTTTCTTTGAGTTTGTCCAAGAAATAGCTAAAGAGAATTAGCAATTCATGTTGTGTTTTATCTTGGAGATTGATTTTGACATATAGAGATTTGGTACCGTAGTGTAAAATGTAGTTGAATCAATTAGGAAGTATTTCGTTAGATGTAAAATTCTCGTAACCCTTATTTTTTTGGAGTGAATAGAGAAGAAACTAGATGAATTGGAAATGTTTTGCCCAAATTCCGTGATGCAGTTCAATATCCTGCATAAAAAAAGAAAACACCACAATTAGGAAACAATGAAAATAGGCAGAAAATCGCAACTTTTGATGATAAAATTTATCAAATTGATTGTTGAATTACGTTTCTTTTCACTGAGTGATGCGAGAAATAAGGATGAGGAATAACAAATTGCATGCTGTATATAAAATATGAAAATGTTATGTACCATTCTTCTGCTGATGAAATTTCCTAACGAGTGTTTGAAACATACATATCATCGCAAGTGATTTAAATATAGCGCAGAGAGTCATATTTTAAACCTATCACTCACACACAAAGCATTCCGTGTGGAAATATAGAAACAATTTAGAAAACTTCCCTCCAAATCCATATTGTAAAATTTGGAATGAATATGCTGTACTTAATTCTAAAGGAATTAATTAATTTATATTGTTATTTTGCCACTTTTACAAACATGGTTGTATCATTTTGGCAAAGTGTCAGTAAAGAATATAATGAAGCGTGGTTCGGAAAGGTGCAAGGGTGAATTCATCTACAGTGCCAATATTGAATTAAATTACATGATTCAATTGAGAGCAGCAGGTTGAGTGTAGAAGAAAGGGTAATGAGAAACCTCCATGAATATTAAACGAAGCAACAGCAGACGATTGTGACCGAAGTAATTTTCATACAAAGTCATTAATTGATAACAGTGCCAACACTGATATTATTTTGAAAAAAGAAATGAAATAATAACGGCCACTTTGTCTTTGTCACAGCTGATTTAAATATTCCTAATTTCTTTGTAATACAATTAGGTGTTTGGAAATATTGCACTAGACCCGGAAACTGCCATAACAAGACACAACAACTTCCGTTCATTCGTGCAAGGATTAATGTTGCTATTCAGGTAGGTAAAATGTGTCTGACGGTGGGAAAGATACTTTCTTCTGGGTGATAACATTCCACCCTGTGTCACCTTTTGTGAAGATACATTTTTGAGAGTTTTCTTCTTCTCTTTTTATACTCTTCTCTCTTGTTAAATTTTTCATTCACTTTTTACAAATATTCATATATATATATAATCGATTTTGTCAGACACTTTTCTCCTTATGATTTCAACCTTTATATGCCTATAATAGTGTTCTTTAGAAGAGAGTCTCTTAAGCAATATCATATGAGAAAGAAGTTAAGAGTGAAGTTGTTACAACTGCATTCTAGGACAGATTGAGAGTGATTTTATTCCTTTTTACTTACTTTTAAGCATACGAGAATATCACTAATATTTTGTCTTTACTAGAGGAACGATCATAATCCTAATTTTCATCGTGCGTCTAGTATTGTTCTGAATAATAAAAAAAAAGCACTTTATCAGAAACCAAAAGTTTATATCCAAAAAGAAAAATATCATCAGGATTGAGAGGTTTATTTCCTAAAATGATGTCCCATTGAAATTCCTTTTTTTAGCAGGTAGTCCATAGAAAATTGCAACAATTAGATGGAAATTCCTAATTGAATGGTACATGATCGTGTGTAAAAAGACTTAAACTTTTCTTGATTCAGCAAGGATATGTATATTTAGAGTACTAACCTTTCTCTCATACTGAGAAGGACTTGTGGTATATTTGTATTTTTGAAGAACTTTAGAAATGTCTTTGTTTCCTTTTGAGTTGACTCATAACTACTAGAATTGACAGAGTAGTTAAGGTTGATTTACAACATATTTAGTCCATTTGTCTTGTCCTTCACATCATGTTTGACTTAGTGCAAGATGTATGAGATGATCAGAGGTCAAATGTGACTTTGAAAGAACCTTCTGGACAAATTGGCGCACACTTGATGAGAAAAAAAATTGTTTTTGAGGAAAATATGAAGATTCAGAGAAGCATTTGAACCAGAACGGTATTTATTGTGTTAGATTTACATGTGATAGTGTCCCTAAATACTAGGAAATAATTCATATAGAGAGAATATTTAGATATCACGTATTTTGAATATAGCAAATTGCGGTTCTAGTGGAAGGTTTTACTTTAACATTTCCCTTTTTCTCCCACTTTTTTCCCAACAGATGTGCCACAGGCGAGGCGTGGCCGAACATAATGTTAGCCTGTCTTAAGGGAAGACCATGTGATGAGCGAGCTGGTAAAGAACCCCACGAAACATGTGGGTCATCTCTGGCTTATGCATACTTCGTGTCCTTCATCTTTTTCTGTTCGTTCTTGGTGAGTATAATTCTTCTTTCCATCTTAGAATCCTCAACAAATCTAACGAGTATTCTTCTGTGCAGATGTTGAATTTGTTCGTTGCCGTCATCATGGACAATTTCGACTACCTGACAAGAGACTCAAGTATTCTCGGTGCTCACCATCTGGATGAATTTGTGCGCATTTGGGCGGAATATGATCCGAACGCAACGTAATATTCATTTATAATACCACAAATCTTTACAGCTTTTAGCAAAAATTCCTTTTCAAGCTCGCAGATTTGACTTACATCTAATCGTCTCAAGATCAACTTTACTAACGCTTTCTCTTCTTTCTGTTTGTCCAGAGGAAAAATTCATTACACGGAGATGTACGATATGCTGAAAAACATGGATCCTCCTTTGGGATTTGGCAACAAATGTCCCAATCGCCTCGCCTACAAAAAATTAATACGAATGAACATGCCACTCGACGCGGATGGTAAAGTGAACTTCACCACGACCCTATTTGCACTCATACGAGAGAATTTGAACATCAAAATGAGATCTGGTGCGTAGCGAAGTGTGGTTTTTCCGCTGGATAGTTCACAATAATGACTGTGTTTGCTTGCAGCCGAGGAAATGGATCAAGCAGATGAGGAACTTCGAGAGACGATACGACACATTTGGCCACTGCAAGCGAAGAAAATCCTAGATTTGCTGATACCACAGAATGACACGCTGAATCAGGGGAAATTGACTGTGGGTAAAATATACGCAGGTCTTCTTATTCTGGAATCGTGGAGAAATACACGATTCGGTCAAATTGATTCAGGACTTCCGGTATGTCGAAAATTTACCAATTCTGCATGCATTCCACTCATTCATTCACACCGTTCGATCTCTCAAGAGAGACGGTCAAGATGCATCATTTCAGAGAGAAAATCATCATCTCTATATTCTTATGTTATTCGTCTCAAGAATTTCACTGAACATTTAGTTTATAATTTAAATCTCTTCCAACTATAAAAGTCTTCATGTATGATTTCACCTATGTATATTATTTAAATTCCTTATTCACTTGTTTATATTCGAATAAGATAAGAGTAATTGGTGTATAACAACTCTTTTTTTTGATGAAGTTGGGGAATATTGTTTAGGATGAATATATTTAGGTTGATTAGATTAATTTGATTATCATTTTTGGCGGTACATTAAGTCGTGAAAAATCAGTGTATATTGGGATTAGTTATAGTTAGTTTCTGTTACTGTGTATCTTCTGTGTTAATCGGTGGATCCGTCGTGGTTAATTGAAAAATTGCATTGATTATACTGTAATTTGAGATGTGTTAGATTTATGTTTCATTTGGTTTATTCATTATATTCCTGAATATTAACTAATTAGACTCCCCGAATTGCCATTTTGCAAGAGATGGATTTATTTCAATATAATGACGATTCATTCCGAGTCCATTGATTATCTCCCGATTGTTTTCCCAAGAAAAAAAGTAACCAAACACAAGAAGACACAAATAACAACAGTTTGTACAAAACGCCGTTGTTTTTCAGGCCAAAGATGCAAGCAAAAGTAGCCCCACGGCGAAACAGCCGGTATATTATGAATTTTCCAATCTTCTTGTACATTTAATATCGTATTTTATTGATACATGTTACAGTATTTTTCTTTACTCTCTCATTTGACAAAATGATTACATGAAAATGAATTTAATTTTTGAAAACATTCATTTATTGATTTCAAAAAAGAAAAAAATCATACTAGATCTCTAGTAAGCCGATTATATCGTACTTTTTATGACAAATATTTCTTGTGTTGTAAACATTTTTGATGAAAATACTTAAAATTGTTGACAGAATAATTAATTTTTCAATCAATTTAATTTTTTTTTGTAGCCAGAATGAGAAGCATTGTTGAATTTTTTCGCATATAATAATCTTTGGCTTTGTCAAGCCTGATTTTACCTGTTTGACATTCAGTTGAATTGACTCAATTCATACTAACTTACTCAATGATGAATGATAATTTCCGGGAAATTCTATAATTGGCATCAGAATTTTCAAGAAAAACATAAAATTTCATAAAGATTGGAAGCCAAAAAGTAAAAAATAAATCAGATATTCCGGAGATTTGTAATCACAACAGGCTATTTTACAATAATTTTTATTAGAGAAAGAAAAATATTTTCAAGTGAAATTTCTTTGCGTTTGTGATAAGTAGATGATAAAGTTCTGCTGATGAATTTTAAATTAAGCATTCTGTTGGAAAGAAGTTGGAAATGGCAAATGCATTTTTCTCGCACACATTCATTTTCCTCCGTTTTCTCAAACATACAAAAGAGAAGAAGAAGTTTTACATTTTCTGCTACAAGAGACAAGATCATAAATTCACATGAACGGCATGACACAAAACATTCCTCATCTCTTTGATTTTTTTCTTTGAATTTCATTTCACTTTGGATTTATACCAATATTTCTTTTTTTTTACCTTTGATTCGTGTTTCAACCAGTTGTAATGTATTTATGGCATTATAATAGGTACATGGAGGGCTTTTTGAGAAGACAGAATATCTCACTAAATTGGCCAACAATCCGCCTAACAATTACTCTAATCCATGTACCTACATTCAAGCGATTTATCGTTAATGTCGAGAGTTTACAGTCATTCTCTTTTCGTTTGGAGCTTGATATTCCATGAAGTCGTTTTGGTTTATTCTTCGACACCTTTAGTGAATGAACATTTTCTTAATCACACTTTTTTATCTTCTATCAATCGACCATTTTGTCATGCTATTATAAAAATTACTATATATTTTTTGATTTATGTATCTATACTTAAATTTATTCGCTATAGTATTAAATGGTCCCAGAGTTAGTGATCGTAGTTAAAGAGTCAATCCAAAAAATGTGTTTAACTATTTAGAAATGAAAAGATATCGTGAAACAGAGAGTTTTCAATGAAATCAAAATATAAGATCTAGAATAAACCCAAATAGATAAGACAAAATTTCTAGAATTTGTCCTATATTTAATCTGTTAGATTCTAGAATACAATATTCTCAGTAGTTGTAGAGTAAGAGTTTGGATTCGATGATGAAATATCGTAGATTCGAGGTTTTGAACGCATTCTTGTATATAAGGTTGATATTTTGAGACTGACAGTATTTCGATGCATTTTTGAAAATCATGTTTTTGAATTGATCATTGCATTCTTTGCATGTTATTTTTACATTCTACTTAAAATCTCCATGCCAAATATCATTAATGAGAAGTATTTGTGTTGAATTTGTGAGATTTTAAATGTCCAAAACAAGAAATACTCAACAGTTTAATGATTTTCGGCATGGAAAACAATCTTTTTATACCATTTTGCATGCATTTTGATACTGAACAATTTTACAAATCAATAGTTTTTGGGAGACAGTAACAAACTTTTTTGATTAAAAATGCTTTATTTTTTCTTATATCTCGCTTCTGCAAAATCAAATCGCAAAACCCAAAAAAAAAAATCTGTAAAATCGTGTAAATTTGGAACAATTTGAACCGTATCTTTTGGTGCACAATTGCAACGCAATTAAATATGTTGAAAAAAAAATACAAAAAAATTGACACTACGAATCGACAAAAACCCTATAATGCCTCTTCACACACAAAAAATCGATCAAATTGATACACGTCGGGGCGTCGAGCAGAAACAGTCGTTTTTCAATTGCCTGCTGGACATGGCGGCCCTGGAGAAGAGCGGAGGCTCCCGGACGGGGTCCGTGAGCGTCGATGCGTCCCACGATGGGGTCACGTCACAAACGCACCTGTTGCACCCTCACGCCCAGTCGAACGGGGACGCCGGCGAACACGTGGGCAATAGTAGCCTGGCCGCCCTGGCTCGCAGGAGCACAATGAGGAAGCGATCGTTCAGGTGAGTACGCAGCACGCCTCGCCACCAAAGCACCCACTTTGTTGCGTGTGCGCATTTGAGCCGACACCCACAGATCGCTTGACATTCTTGCTTTCTCTCCGTCTCTTTTGCAGATCCAAAAAGGTGATGTTGCATTCGGTAAAGTACACACTACTAAAAGAAATGATATATATAGAACACTCAACACACGGATCACGACAGAACACCAAACAGAACTAACAGAAAAAGATGATCAAGAGTGACAATAATTGTGATATATAGCAAACATTTTATTCGTAGTTCTACACTTCAAATGTCTAGAGGAATTACTGTGAAGTTTTCGACTTATTTCTTTACAATTTTCATTTTTACACCGCAAGGTAACAAAGATATTTTTGTTGATCTTCTCTATTGAAGATCGCGTCGAAAGGACAATCTTAGAAGAGTTTCGAGTTTCAGTTCTTTTTTTTTTACTAATAGTGCAACAGTTGTTTTATTCTGTAAATTTCTCTTTTTTTCTTTAAATTCACAGAAAAAACTAACTTTTTCTAGGTCGTAGATTAAAAAAGTTATTCAATGTAAGAGTTGAATTCTAAAAAAGGAATATTTTATTCAGAATAATAACCAAATCATTGAAGATTTTTTATTCTTTAGAGTAGAAGGTCAAAGAAGAGATAATTTTAAATGTTAATGAAAAAAAAGAATGTAAGAAATGTTAACTTGGGTGAGTACAGAATGGCGAAGATAAGCAGAAAGTTGCATATGAAGAAATCTACTAGAGATTTTTCGCCTCTTATCTGCAGAGTTTCTAACTTTTCAAAGTGACTTGTAAATTTTTTTCTCTCAATTTATTTCTGCATGAAATTTACACATTTTCTTAATATTCTTTTTTTGTCTTTTCTATTTTTCCAATATCTTTTTTACCTAGAACCATCGGCAATTTATCAAGTGCGTTGGATTTTTCTTAACCAACTAGTGATGATAACAGCACTTTTGATCTGCATGATTTGCATGTCTTTTTTATAGTTCTCTCTAAAATTAATTCCATCTAATCTCTGAAAATTTTAAACTTCAACAAATTTAATGCAGATTCCGACAGCAAAATATGCATAATACTTAGATTATGCAATGTATATAACAACTATACATAAATCTTCTTTTAAATAAGTAGAGTATGTTACTTGGCAATAACTTTCGAGCATATAGAGTCCACCTCAATCACTGAGGCCTTGGCACAAGTTTTGACAATATATATTTTTTATTTATCGCAACATTGCAAATTACTTTACCAACTTGTGTGATGCAACAATTAGTGACTTAGATATAAATATAGGACAATATATGAATAATTGCTAGAAATCGAAATGAACGAAACTTTCCGATCAACTGGATCACTGACCTGAGCTTTACACATATTCAAGTTTCTCTCAGAGCTTTACATGAAGGCCACTCTCTGCGCTTTACTAATTGTCTCCTTTACCTCTTTCGTCGCATCGCGTATAGGTACTCGAACTGCAGGACGTTGCATCGCGGCAACCGTCTTTGGAATCCCTCACGGGTGATGGTCATCTTCATCCTGGACATCCATACAACGGTCACAGAAGATCTCCCAGCTTACGGTGAGTTGAGGATGTGGCGAGAAGAAGGCAAGCGTCATGGTAATTGAATCCTCTCTTCTTTCAGTGGGGGATCACCGTTGATACGGACACCGAGTCCAAGAAGAAGAGGTCATCATCTTCACCATGACATTGGATTCTCGGACACAGTGTCCAATGTCGTGGAGATCGTGAAGGGTGAACGAAGTCGAAGGCACTACGGCCCTGGATCCCGATTTACTCGAGGTACACCAAGTCATTGCATTTTTCCAACTCTCTCTCTCTCTCTCTCTATTTTCTACTATCTGTACATACGGTGGATTTTTATCTATATACTAACAACCAAAAGAAAACAGACAAATGTATAAATGGCTCTGAATCATGTGATCTTTGGACGGATTTTAGTTCTTACTCAATCTTGATTTTCTTTTCTTTCTACTGTCATCACTCACAATGTTTCAATCAAGTAAAAATAATTCACTTATACCATCAAATTCCTCTCACGATGTTTATGTTCTCGTTTGAGTTTTACTGCAAAGAATCTTGATGTGTTCCATCCTGTCTATAATTTCTTCCTCGTTAGCAATTGAGCGTCCTTCTTTTGTGTGTTTTCTTCCCCCCACCAAATCACAACACTTTTGATATTGAACATTCATTCAAACCCTGTGTACCACAAATGTATATGTTTTCTAATTGGCGCCCAATTGATGTGTTTATTGTTTGTGACGAAAATGATATATGAGATTTCTAAATTCTACAACGTGCCCATTTCATGTTTATAGAGTCACTATATGAGTCCAATTCCTAGACATGTTTGTTGTTCCAAAAAAAAAAATCATGTCCCCTCAACTGTATGTTATCCATTATTTAGAAAGTTTTTCTCAACTGTAAATCACACCTCTAAATTCTCTCTGTCTCTAAGCTCTATGAATCTGTCTTCAGAGTATTCTGTGCAGCTATCTGAAAGCCTTGAACAATGTGAAAAAAAGTGCTTAGTAGTTAGTGGGGGAAATGTACGTAGGCTCAGGGGTGGCAGAGCGTAAATGAGCGCGTTAATTGCAATGGGTGCTGTCCGGGCGGGGTGGTCGCGAAATTTGTTGCGCAGACCAAAGTAAATTGTGTACAGAAACAAGACCAATTTCCTGTTGAAAATGTAGGTTCATGGTCAGCGTCGACGAGTCCCGCTCGATCTCCGTCGCCAGCCCGATACGGTCCCCGCGGGGATGCTGCCCATCATCGGAGTCACCGGAACCATCTTCAGTATCCCACGTATGGGACAACAAGTCTATGTCAGAGATCACGTTCGCCGAGTCCCGCTCGACTGAAGGAGATGCGTGATCGATATAGACTTTTGGACGATGAAATGGGTACAATTTTATCAACAATTTATTATTTTACTCTCTCTCTCTCTCTCTTTCTATCTCTTACTCTTTGAAGACGAAACATGTGATACGAAATGAATCCTCTCATGTGAGGACAATTGATACAGACAGCAAAACACTCTACACTCCTCCACTCTTTTAACTTATCTTCCTGTTTCTTAGATATTCATATGCTCTGCTAAAACAGATATCATGGTTTTTGTTTCTGTTCTTTAGTTATGGTATATACAATCAGAATGCTAGACACGGTTAAATGCTCATTCATTAGGAACATTATACATAAATAGTGTGATTTTCTAGCCAGACTCTCTTGCTGATAGAGCAAAAGGGATAGAGATCTTGAGTGGTTCTGAAGAATGTTGACGCTAGTTTAGTTCGGGCTACATTAGACAAGATATCCCATCTGTTGTGAATGCCAAACACATAACACACTCACTATCACCTGAAAACGGCACACTCGTGGACAAGAGCATGGTAACCTCACAGGTCGATGTTGATGATTGTTTTGCACGGCATGATTGAGTTTCTATAGAGAGCAAACCATATAATCCATCATCTTAGGCGTCCTCGCATTGTCCAAGTGCGAAATGCCATTGTAATTGAGTGAATTGCTTGGATTCTTTCAGGAGGAACACACCATGTTCAACTTAGTTATCCAGTTTTGGTGCCTGGACGTCGTCGGTTGCCTCCTACACCGTGTAAACCATCGACTTTGCAACTAAAGCCAACTAATATAAATTTCCCCAAATTAAATGCTAGCCCTACACATGTAAGTGCACAATGTCCTCTACGCCTCTCCATGTACACTGATTGACTGATTCGCGTTTCTCTCTTATGTAGAAGTATTTTCACAATTTTCAACAGACTCACCACTCGACACCTCATAGTGTTCATTCGCTGCCACATTCTAGGGATTTTCTCCGCGATCAGCGTGATTTTTACTACGCAAGTCGCGAACGCGATCGACTGAGAGATCGCCCGCGTGATTACGATTTAAGGTACGAGTATCGAGACAAGGAGCGTGAGCGGTACGAGTTGGAGCTCGAGAGGGAGAGAGAAAGGTGGGTATTGGCGCGAAGGAGCAACCAAAAGCGATGCCTCAATGTGATTTTGCATCCGCAGATTGGAATATCACGCTCCGCTGTCGTTCGAACAAGCCTTAGCGATGGGCAGAACTGGCAGAGTACTTCCATCACCCGTCCTCAATGGCTACAAGCCAAAAGGTGGCCTCCATTCGCGCCACTCCGACTCCGACGAAGAGGACTGGTGCTAGCAAAGGCTGATAAGGCACAGCAACAGTAGGGAACAAATATGGGTCTAGCGGTGCGTATCGTCGCCGTGATTCCGTGTTAAGATCATCATTAACTGTTAAGGACAACAAGACAACACACACACTTTTTGCAAGAAAACCAAAAGAAAGACAGAACTCGGTGAAAAAAAGTTGACACAAAAGACACGCCGTTTAACTAAAAGATATGGTAGGAACATTCATCGTCAGACCATCTCGTGTCCTCTTAATTGGCGTCTTTATCGGTAGTGCATCGAAATTTGTGAGGAACTTCGTATGCAATTGACGCATCTCATCACCTGTTACTTTCCCAGAACTATTGTAAATCCTTCTTTTATCGCATCTCTGTAACATCTCTACTATCTCTCAATAACTTGTTAACTTGAATAGTGGAGCTATAATGGGAGGCGAAAGAACAAACATGATAAATACTTACCAGAATTACTAATGTAAAAATAGGGAATCGTATGTAAATACATATCGATAGGCAATTCATTTGATCTCTGCTAGGTAAAATCATTGGACATAAAGATTTAAAATTAGTTTCACCATTACAAAGTAAACCAGTGAATAGTGGAAAATGAAACATTGTAGATGGAAGTGTGAAGAGTTTAATATCAAGTGTGTAAGCTGCATATTATAAACTAAATATTTGTAAAAATGATAATTTTCCATGCAATTTTCAAAATTCTCGCAACATTTCTAATTCGAGCCGCGCATTCCTCTCATTTAACGATATAACCAGTTGTCCACCTAAATAATATCCACTCAATGGAAAATAGTGAAGGTTTTCGATTGAACCACACGAAACAAATACACAAGATTGGATGCTTTGCGGGCGTTGGTTGGTTCAGGGGGAAATTTCGAGCACTTATTGTCTACGAAGAGACACTCTTGACGGGATAATCTTCCGGAAAATGTCACAGTGAATTAGCGTCTGTTACTTTAAGACGAAAACTATCGACTTAGGAATTTTTCGTGCGCAAAATCGTGAATTACACTTTGCCTCAATTTGACCCCAAATCTTTTATACCCTTTTCTCGACACCTGGCAAAGATCCGTCCCTTAGTTTCCGAGCAAAAAAATAAATATGAGAACAGAAAACACATTTCATCTGCAATTTGAGACAAAAGAGGTAAACTAAAATGCATAAATTGCCATTTCGAAACTGCCAGAAGTTGTTCGAACAGTTAAAATTCGTGGTATTTTTGCCCTTGGAGAAAAAAAGAGTTTATTTCTTCGATTCACAATTTTTTCTCTTTAGTAATGTCTTAAGATATGACAAGATATTTCAATATCGCTTCGGAGTAATATTTTCCATCATTTCACCAAACAGCTGTTATCGTAAATATATCTTATCCCACTGCCACATATTGAATAAATTCTCAAAAGATGATTCTTCATTGCGCAACCATTATATGTTTGGTTATATTCTCAAAGTAAATTCCAATATTCACTGCTTCTAAGTATATTAAATAAACCAACAGAAATAATAGTAATTATTTCTCAAATGCTTACAGTAATGGAAAAACAAAATCGAATAGAGAAATTCTCGAGTATTCCACCAACCAAAAACAAACACATAAACTTGTCTTAATAGTGATTATGTCACGTATTATCAAAAAAAAAACACAAGAAACATAAAAAGAGGAAAGCAAACATTATAAATTTATTATAATTGACGATGGAGGTGGAAAAAAATGATAAAAATGACTTCACATTTAGCGAAAGTGTACATAAAATACAGTTTTCTGTGATATAAAAATATATATTATTAAAATGATGAAAAAGAGTAATTTAAAGTCTATAAACAAATTTTAAAAAAATGAAATGCATTCGCGTTATATATGATAAAGAAAAATTAACTTAAACAGATTCATTAATTGAATACATTTCAGATAAGATTGTGACAGAGGAAGTTTTCATTCAATGTTACTCATTGCAACATTCCATTTTACACTATAGATAAAACAAGAATATTCAAAAGAAAATAACATGCAGATGAATACCTTCAAATACAACTTATCGAGAAGAGAACTTCATAAGAGTAACAAGACGTAATGCAACATTGAGAGAAGCCCTTTGATTAAATATAAAATACCATTAACTAATAGATTCATCATTGCGCGTAAATGTTAAAACTGTACTGTAATATAGTATTTCTAAAGGACAACATAAGAAGATGATGGAAATGATGAGGAGGATACAGAACTTGACAATTACTTATAGAGGAGATCCAATGAGAAAAGATCATTCGCATTTTTACTACGCCGCTTAGAAGAGTTCAGAGAAGGAAGGCAATTTCTTTTTTTTATATAAATAATAAGGATAATTAGGAGTGGGACGAATGAGAATCTATTGACATTATAGATGTACTCGTAAAATGCATATTATTAGATAAATATCGATACATATTGTAAATGTAATATCTCCCTAAATGAAACCATGATAGACATTTATATTGAATTCGTTGGCTGCTTTTATGTTGTTCCCATACAAAGTGACAAAAAAAGAGGATAAAAAAACATTAAATTGGTGTTTTCACAATACTTTTTCCATACCATGTGGGATTTTGTGAAAATTGTTAACGATAGCATATGATGTGAATGGTTAGAGAGAGTTTATCCCTGGATTTTTCACGTTGAACCTTAATAGAAAAAGAAACTTGCAAAGACATACCCATATTTATAATTACCAAACTAAATGTTGACTACTCGTAATTTATGTAAATTCATAATTTTTCGTACTTTGTCTTAAGTATTTTGCAAAAAATGTTAGTGAAGAGATGTAAAATAATTTTATAATCCTATGTGCAAATGAAGGCGATAGTTTATTTGAGGTAAAACACACAAGTAACAATTTTGTAAATCTTCACCTTAAACCCCTTAAACTCAAAAAAAAGGTACCATAAACATTTCTAGCGAAAACACATGGAAAAACAGACAATTTTGGACCAGATCAACTAACAATTATCACAGATGCAAAAGAATCCTGAAAATATGTTTTTCTTAATCACTTATTCAAACTGGCGAATAATTGTTGATACAATTTCAAAGAGTAATATTTGTTTTAAAATAATAAGAAAATAGTGTAGTAGACCAAACACAATGTTTAAGTGAAAAGCCGAACAGATATCGTGTTTCACATAATACTTAGTAATCACTTTAGTTTTCAACATCTTTGAAAATCAATGTAAATACATAATTCAGTGTATGATTAAAGAAATATTTGAAAGAAGTAAATCAAATTTAACAATTTTGAAAATAAATTTTTAAGTCTCATCTCCATGTCTTTGAGCATGAAGAATATTTTTGAAAAGTCACGTTTTGCAGAGGGAAATTCGAAAAAAAAATATCTGGCAACATTTGCAGCCGAATTTTTAACAATCTAATTTCTCATATTTTTAGTTCTGTCAAAATCCTATTAAATATTTAATGTCTTGAAAGATTCAGGATACTTTTATATTCTCATTTTCCTTGTTTATCATATTCTAATCTGACGGATGAAGATGAATTGCAAGAAATCCAGAGTGTCCAACTGATAAAAATAATAAAGAAAATAATTCCTTAATAAATTAATCCATAAATATACTGTAAATTGCAATTTTTATTCATTGACTCATCATGTAAAAACTGGCGCGTCATATTTTCATCGAATATTTCAGAAAATAGTGAGAAAGGATTCCGAAACCATAAGAAAAGAAGAAAAAAACTACTATAACATAGCATTGATGATGAAGAATTTCAAATATTGTATTAGACTTTTTATAAGATGAAAAAATTGAAATGATGAAAATCTTACATAGATAATTAAATATACCAGATAAAAGAGAAAAGAAGAAAAAAAGAAATTTACATACATTATAAGAACCGAGATGCAACACGTAATACAAAGAAATACAGATTCATGCATTACATTAAATACTTTTTAATAATATTTATATTAAACAATTAATCAAATTTACATTATGATATAAAAAAAAAGATGAAAAATGGATAAAAAATCTTATTAATTTTCCCTATTGTCAGATATATATTTACGGTGAAGATACAAATGAAGAGAATCACATTTTTGAAAAATTCAACCTTAACAAACTAAGCATTGTTGATTACCCAGAAAGACATAGTGAAATAATATAAAATAAAGGTGTACACCTTTGATTGAAAGAATATAAACATGAAATGTTGTACGAAAAGAAACTATTTTTGACTTTAGTACTGGATTATAACCATTGAAAAACCATCTATGAAAAAATTATTCATATTTTCCTTTGTTGCTATTAAACATTGACATACAAAGAAATGTATATCAAAGTTTATTACTGGTTGAATTCTTCAAATATTTAACAAGAATGAAATGAAAGCGAAATATAAAGTAAACTATACCACTATATTGGAAAGTGTTAGTTTTCCAATTACAGAAGAAGAATATATAAATATACATACATTGCATATATTATAGCTAAATCTAAAAATCTTATATGTAAAAAAAAAGTGACAGAAACTGAATTATTTATTATTGAAAATGAAAAAAAAGAGAAACGTAATAGAATGCACTGTATACCGGTATTTGTTAAATCGCATTATTGAAAGAAAGATGAAAAAAAACAAGAAAATGAAAAATTCTTAGATAAAGTATGAAAATGAAAATTTATTATCATGTCATCGCTTTCGAAGCCCGTTTTTTAAAGAAAATAAAGTATATGAAAAATATATACTGAATTGTTTGTATTTTACCGGCTCTGGAGAGTCGAACGTATTTCGTGTTTGACTCTTTGGACCCATTCTAATTGTTTGCTGCCCTCATTAAGTGACTAATTTGCGGTGTAAGGTGCATTTGAGCCCTCCTGTTTGGTGTTCAGACACGAGGCGGCAATTAGGAAAGAAACACATGTTTGTTTACCCTTTGACTTCTCGTCAATGGTCGGTAAAGGCACTGTGCATTTTCGAGGAATTGTCTAGCTTGGAGAGCGCATGACTTCTGATATCGATTTTTCCGCGAAATTGTCACAGTCTCTCTCTCGTTCTTCTCTCCAACTCAGTCAGTTTCACCTGTGCACATCTGTCAGACACCGGCCCGGGTGCAGAGAGTGATATATTGCTTCTATCCTAAGCGTCACCGCGTATCTCGCAATTTTGAAAAAGATGTGAAAAGATCTGTGATTAGATAGCGCGAAGCGTAAGGCGGATACAAGGCTGATACTGCAACGAATCAATTTTTCGCACGCTGTTTTGCTGGTGCGAAGGTATACGAGCGGTGGATCCGTTTGAGGAGGGGTATTTCATAGTGGCTGCGCTTTCCCTGGGGATATAGACAATGGACGTCGTCGATATTCTGCTATTCTGCTTCATATCATGCGTTATTGGCGCCGTCCTCATGCTCCTGGGCCAGTACTATGTGTTTGTGCGGTTCATTGAGACGCCCGATGAGACTGAAGAAAAGACATCCGTCACGCAAAAATTTGAGCTTCCAGACGTAAGGCATCGAACTTTCCCACCCACACCGCCAGCACTCACTTTTCCCTCTCTTTTTCAGAGTGTCCTTTCAAGCATTAAATCTTCAGAGTCTGAGAGCAAAAATCCAATAGTGGCCATCAATTTAGTGCTGCAGTTCCTCTTTTACGAATTGCGCCACTCGAACAGAGTCCGAAAGTGGTTCTATCGGAAGTTGTCCCTGGAATTAGATGAACTCCTTACCAAATCCACCACTGGGAGACTCTTTGACAAGCTCACAATTAGGGAATTGGAGCTGGGCGGACAATTTCCGGACATCAAAAGCCTTCGCGTCAACAATGTGGAGCTGCACGACACTGAGGGCTACATCGAGAACCTGGACGTGATGCTGGATCTCTCCTATCGTGGCAACTTTAGACTCTCCATTGATGCCGACATGGTGCTGGGCAAGAAGGGATTTCTCTCTGTTCGTGTGAAGCACGTGTCGGGTCTGGCGCGTCTGCAATTCACCAGAAAACCCTACACTCACTGGTCCCTGAGTTTCGTGGGTGAGCCTCAAGTGGATCTGGGCATTGAATCTCAATTCCAGGGCAGGCAAATGCAGTCAAACGTGACGAGTTTCATCTCCAATCAAATAAGGAAAGCAATTCGCTCAAAGCATACACTCCCCAGCTACAAATTGAGGTAAGAACCATCTCTCAACTTGGGTTACTCCACTGGGAAATACCTTCAGCCGACGATTTTCCTAGTCATGCATATTTAACGTGCATCTAAAGACCCATTCGATTTTCTGCGCACTCCACGCCATGGGAAAATTGACACGTGTTCTTGACTATGAAATTCTTCCAATTCTTCGGGAATTGGGAATTTAGCTTTATTTCGTTCATGAATTTTTCTTTCAATTTCAATGTGAGCTCTAAAGTAGGAACATTTTACTTACAGATACAAGCCATTCTTTCAGAAAGTGGATGACGAACTGGACTTGACTGATTTGATCCCCGAAGGCACACTCAGCGTGAATGTCTGTGAATTGTCTCGTCTCAATGTTTCCTCTCAGATCACGGCTGTTTTCTGCACTATCACTCTAGCATCAATTCCTTGGGTAGAAGCGAGACAGCAGGATGAAAATGCCATAATCTTCTCTCTTGATTTGGAGATTCACAAAGCGAAGAACCAGCAAGTTGGAATCGTTTTCAAACAGACTGAGAATGCAGTCATGATTGAGTCTATCATCCCAAACACTCCAGCGGCGAAAGCCAATCTGAAGAAGAACGACATATTGATAGCTATTGAAGGACGGAAAGTGACTCAACTCACGCACGTGACCAAGATCATGAAGAGCATACACAGACCAATGTTTGTCCTGAGAATTGAAAGGACAACTCGCGGGGTTATTAAAAATGACGCAGTGGCTGAAGACTTTGAGCTGATAGAGAGCATTGACGATGGGAATATCAGCTTCAGCAAAGCAAGTGATTCAGTTCAGATTGGAACGAAGATCACCAGAATGAACTCCCTGGAGCGAAACTCCAGCGACTCCAGTGTCTCAACTACGCCCACAACCACTCCAAGAAAGAGCAGTTCCTCGGGAAAACCTCTTCTGCGTAGCAAATCAAGGAGCGTCAGTGTGGAAAATGAACCCAAATCCCCAAAAAGATTGTCCAATGATGCAATTCCGGAAACCTTTCCTCAGCAAACAACAGTTGATTGTCCTCTCAACTCCTTCATGCGAATGGAGCAGGTGTGCACGTTCAGCTTGAAGGAGAATTTAACGACCATAAATTTGAATGTCTTTGGAAAAAGCAAGGACGAGACAGTTTTCTTAGGGTATCACAATATATCCATCCCGAGTATCCTCAGTGAATGCAGCGAATCAACTCTGGGACATTACATCAAGAGATTCAATCTTTTAGCCCCGGAGGCTCCTAATCTGTGAGTTTCCACAAATTCTTCCCCAAAATAACCCGATTATTGTTATTCCTGTGTCTTGTAGGATAAATCATCCTTTGTCTACTCAATCTGGCTTTGAATCTCGTCTCTGCTATGGTGATGTCCTCATTTCCTTTGCCTGGAGTGATTTCGGAGGATTAACTGCAGCGACGATTCAGTCTCCAGATGCCACGAGAAGAGCAAAGTACAGTGGAAACCGAAGTGGATCTACTGATAAACTCGAGGATGATCGCAATGAGAGTCAGAAACAACACAATTTCATTCGAACACACTTCAATCGAGCCACGCAGTGTGATTTCTGCGGAAAGAAGGTTTGTCCAAGGGTTTTGGCAAGTGTTTCAGAATAGTGAGATGAGTTTCTCTTTCAGATTTGGCTCAAGGATGCGGCTCAATGCAAGGACTGCTCCATGTGTTGCCACAAGAAGTGCATAACCAAGTGTCAAAACTCCACTGTTTGTGGTCCAACGGATGCACAGATGCCAACAGCTTCGCCACAGCAAACAGTTCAGCCCGAGTTCCGAGTTACTCAGCCTTGTGAGGAGGTCACAGAAGGGGAGGATGTCGAAGAGGTGAGATGAAATGAGGTACGATTTTACTGCGACACTAGAATGTTGCTTTTGCAGATCAATAGACTGAAAAACGAGGGACATCGTCAGAGCTTCAGTGATCTCCTGACTCAGGGCCTTAAGCGTGTCAATTCTGCCAACAATCTCGCCATTCCGGCGATTGTGTCCTCTCTGGGACAGGGCAGTCGAAGTCTCCCGCCAAGTCCCCAATACACCCCCAGAAAGCAGAGTCTCGTGCCTCAGACAACAAATCTTCTCGCTCTGGCAGTTCAGCGTCTGGAGATGGCAAGCTTGGCGGATGTTGCCGGCCAACAAATGTCGCTAATGATTGACGGAATTGTGGAGCCCTTCAGTGGCACATCTCTGGATGAGATTATGACGCTGGCCAAGAATAGTAGCCACCAGCTGTACTCTGAGCTCGAGCCCGCGAAGCGCGTGGAGAAAATCAACGAAGTGTTGGCCAAATTGCGCCTGGCGCTCGACTCTGAGACCACCACGCACGCTGACTTGTCTATGGCTTTGGCGGAGCTGAAAACTGCCAAGGCGACCAAGAGCTCAGACGCCAACCTGTCGCCTAAGGCATCTGCGGACGCCCGGAAGGCAGCTGCCCGCGATAAAGACACCGAAGCGGAAATGGCGCGAATTGCCTTCCTCTTGGGACAATCCGAGGAGCGCGTTCAGGCTCTCAGTGTGATCATGCTGCACCTCTGCTCGGCTCTGCAGCACGCCCAGGGAATCGCGGGCCAGTGAATTTATGCATTAAATCTTTCGCTTCGGACTAGAGTGACTGAAATACACTGCGCGCACATCTCAATCCACAATCTAATCTTCAAAATATTTAGGGGAAAGTCATGCACATGTAATATGCGAAAAGCAGACTTGCACAATTTTCTTAGCCAAAAAAAAACTCTTGCAACTTTCGCGTTCCTTGCTCTAGTGGAGTTTTATTTCTCAAAGATAACCCACAAAGAAATATTTCGGAGAAATATGGATATAAAAGTAAGAGAAGAAATAACACAAAACTCCATGTAACTTCGAGTAATACTAATTGTCAATTCAGTCTCTTTTTTGGTGTTAATTGAGAGAAATATCAATTATAAATGAAAAATTTCCACACACACACACATTCTTTTCTTCTCATCCATGGACTCAATCTTTCACTTCCGCAACCTCTTTCTGCTGATCGATCGCCAGGAGAGCTTCTTCCCACTGAGATGACCGGAAAGAGAGCGCGAAGAGACAAAGCACATGTTTTCCCTGAAATTTAAAGACTCTTTTTCTCCCAAAACAAAGTTCAGAATATACACTTTGTTCGATGGAAAAGTCTGAAGAAAAGTCGTCATTCAAAGGCAATAATCGCAAAATTAAGAACACACAACTACACTTAAGCCGATCGTCCGTGGTGTCTATAAATAAGAGTCAGTCGAGAGAAATTGCGACTCAGGATGGTATAAACAATAATAGTATTAATGGAACATTTGCCAAATGGTCTGGGGGAAAGAGGTTTCTTGAACTGCGCGGTTCATCTCAAAATGAGAAAGAACACAATCTTCACTTCCTTTCTTTCTGACTTTCACGGCACTGATTTCACGCATGACTTTCAGGCTGTCAGAGATGATCTTTTCCCTCCAGAATTGTGGCTAAAATGTCTGGAGAGAATTTGTTTTGAGTGATCTTGAGCCTGAAAAGGATGATCCGAATTCACAAACTCATGAGATCTGGAAAATTTTCACCAAACAACCAATTCCGCATGGTCGGTAAATAAATATACTGCGATCTGTAGCTCGCTTTGTTGCACGCAACAGTATAGTGATTCATCGGACTGTGTGGTTTCTATTTATATGAAATACAGAAAGTTTTCCTGGAAATTTACGAAGATTTTTTTAGATGAAAATTCTCATTGAATAATTTTATCAATATCAAAGTTGTTTACACACTAAAGAAAAACGATAAAAACCGAAGAATTTTATGATTTCAATTTATCACAAACAGATTATACCAAAGTTTTAGGAACCTGTGATTAATTTATTGATCTTGACTTTGTTATAAGGAACAGGCGGTAGTTGTTTGGCTTCTTCCTCAAAACAAGACCTTTATCTTGAGCTGAGACAACGCGAAAACACTCGTCCGTTGATCTTGTCTCTATCTGATTTTAAGTACAGCGATCATCCACAGCGTCACTTGAGCCAATCTGTCGCCACTGGTCGCGCACTTTGCCGAGTCTCAAGCCTTTGTGCCAAGAGTTTGGAGTATTGGTGGCACGCTTACGCTTTGTTCTGTCGAAATTCGCCTCCCACCCCCGCGAATCTTCAATCGCGTGCTACCTATTCCCACAGACACCAGCTCACATGCGATGCCGCGGAACAGCTGGCGGGCCCCAAAGGGGGGACACTGTCCCTGTGTCTGTCTCCAACACAGTGTAGAGCGCACCGTGTGTGTGGCGCGGTATAAAATCAGCTGTTCTGTGCTGTACAAAAACATTTGAAAAGCGGAAGTTGCAGTAGATACTACGCAGTGCAGAGCGAACTCTAGAGCGTGTGAAGTGATTTTTCTTTGTGTCCTGTGAGGATTCTCGTATGAGCATCGCGAGTCACGATCAAGGAAGATTTAGTCACAAAAGTGAACGCATTCTGATGGATTTTTGGACTTAGACTGAGCACAGTTGGAGTGTTTTTACTGTTTTTTATTTGTTCTCAAGTGCAATATATAGTGAATTGATTTTGGAAACATGAGACCACCGTCGCAATTCGGCAACGACATCACAAACACCACGACCAATGACAACAACGGCGGAGACGGCTTCGATCCAAATGGAAATGGACCTCCTATTCCGCCCAGCATCGCCCACCTGGGGGGTACCCTCATCTGCGCCCGCTTGGCCGGAAATGGGGTGATCAGGGTGGTCAGGAGGTGCGACGACGCCAAAGAGAATGGCACAAATCTGGGTGAGTCACTTCGAGCCTTCCTCATGCCCATCACACTTGCCCAGAGCGAGATAATTGCACAGAGAGAGAGCGTATAAGGTATAAATGCGTTCGACCTTACCGAACCACCAAGTATGGGCGTCTGGAGGTCAAACTAGACGAGATAATTTCTTCCATTTTCGGAGGAGAACAACCGATTCAGCGTCGAGACTCGAGATGCAGTTATGCACTCAGTTCTTCCTGCACTGCTCACAATGCGAAATTAATTGCACAAGAAATCTTCCTCAAGATCTCAGCATTTAAGAAATTAAGCTCTAATCCCATGTCGCGTGCAGACAATCTCAGAAATAAGCGCGCTTTCAGCTGAGAGCGAAATGCGCCCAAATCCAAAGGCAATGGTAAATACATAACTTTTAGTGTTTGTTACACATTTTTATATGATTTGAGGTATTTCTTCTTTCGAAATGACTCAACAGTTGCATCACGAGAAGAAAAAAAAACGTATATAAATTCATTAGCCTCTTCTCAGTGTTCACCTGAATTAATTATCAAGAGGCATTTTGTAATTTATACACAACAACCCAACTGTTCGCCCAAACAGTGTATCTCTCGGCGATTTTATGCTTCGTGTAGCTTTTGCCTCTCAATTGAGCGATTTTCTATTTGATGAGATGGCGCGATATTCCGCCTGGCAAAAAAAGTGTTTAAGGAAATTTTCTCCATTCGAATGATTGTCCCAGAAATTGAATTGACTTCTAAATAATTTTCCGCCTGTCAAGCACTCCCATTTCTTTGCTGTGCGACGAGAAAGTTGGCTGATCAACTTAATTGAGTGATCTTTTGTGCACTCCTCCGGCTCCCTTTTATTCAAGTTTCACCTTGTGTGGCGCCCCGACCAATGTCTTGTGCCAGCATAATGTGTAATTATTATTTATTGCCGCTCATTGTCTTGTCGCTGCTGCTACTCGTCTACCTCACGAAATCGCTTCTAATCTAACAAATTTCACTCGTTTTTATGTGCATTCCATTCGGCAATAATTCACATTTGCACACGGAAAATGAACCAGACTGACTGAAAACGATTTGCCGTCTTGAATTGAATCTTGATAATGAAATTGGCTTGTGCACAGAGGAAAAGGTTATTGCTGTGCAATATTGCACGTCTCAATGATAATTCGATTTTGTTTTTTTTTTGCAATAACGTATCAATTTTGCAATGAAACAATAAAAGAAAATGAGCTATTCTTGATACCTTCAAATTGTTTCCTGAATGAATTTAGGGTGCGATTATAGGTGTATCGAGTGCTTATTTTCTTGCTTGGTTTCATAACAACACCTCTGTTAACATCGTCTTGAAATTGAGTGTTAAATCTCCAATATTTTGAGTTGTTTGTGCGTGTCTGATGAACCGTAAGCACGTATCAACTACGCAGTCCAACCTAAACTTGCTGTGTTATTTGCAATGTCTGTTTATTTAGACGGAAAAAATATTTAGGAGGCAATAGGAAATTTTTGCGTATAAATATTGAGAAGGACAAAATCCGATTATATTCTTACAAGTTCAAGAAGTCGCACATATTTATTTATAAAAATATTTCGCCATTTCTTTGTCGCTTAATTAAATATTTATGGATGAATACAAGTGGCGCTCTATAAAAAAATTGTCCTTGCTTTCATTTCCCAACAAACATATAAATTTTTTCATACCAGTTTTGAATTCTCTTTAAGCCTAATTCACTTAATTCAATTAGGAATGCATACGAATTACCTCTGATTTACCTCAATTGGTAAATCTTTTGCTTTACTTTCTCCTATCTTGCAAATAAATTCTCGAGTTGGATTTTATTTTCGTGTTGAAACTTCTTGCGCTCCTCAAATTTATCTACAATAAATTTTATATACATCGGAAAAGCCCCAAATTCCTTTCCGACCCATAAATTTCTCTCCGAAAGCGAAATCAACCTAATCCGCGGGAATTCACGTGAAGATATTTCGTGAATGAACAATCACCCTTTCCAGCTAATTTATATATCGACCACGTTATCGTTGGAGAGGCAAAAACAAAACAATGTGTGATAAAAGAGAGACACGCGATAGAGAAATGAATCATTTATTGGAGGTGTTTGATTAGAAAACGAGAGCGACTAGTAAAATAAATTGACGCGCAATCCAGAGTGATACCTTTGTTCTCATGGGTTTGTGTATTGCATGAAGTATTGGGAAAATGTGGCGTGTTTTCCGTCTGAAAGGAAAATTCTCTACGTAAATTTCTCACGCGAAATTATACGCATTTTTCGTGGTTCATTCGCATCTTTTGAGCCAATTGAGACAAAAGCGCGCGCCGCGGAACAAAGTGGAGCAAAATGTGTCCATTTTTAACACTAATGGAATGAACTGACGGTGTATAGACAAAGAACGTGAGGTGACGGGGAGATTTCGTGGAAATTCTCACTCAGCATCGCGAAAATTTCCCTGATGTGTTCATCTATTTTTGTGTACTTGCGACTGAGATGAAATAATTAAACTACTTTGTGACCATGACGTTGATTTCTTTCTCTTCTCAAGACGCATGAGGAATAAAAAAGACAGCGAGACCTATTAAAAAAGCCAAAAAGGGAACAATGTGTGGTTGCGTGGAGAGGAAAATTTTCGCGGTTAATTTACATTTCACCGACTTGAAGAGAGTGAGGCCATTTCAACTGGAGAGTGCGGCGAGAGAGAAGAAAAAGAAGTTACTTTCAGTTTCTACACAGCTCAAAAAGTTGTTACGCCACAGACGATTAGGAGAAATTATAGTATTTTGCGCTTTTATTAAAACACGACTAATATCGTAGCGTAAACATCCCAGTAAAAGAGGGCAATGCGAAGTGTGAGAAGAAAAGTGCGTTTTTTTCTCTCTCCGTCAGACAAAACATCGTGCCGGAAATAAAAGCTTCTCTTTCAGCATGATTGCAGTGGATGATTCAGAGAGGCATAAAGCACCTTCGGGCTCCTTTTATCCGCTGAATCTCATTACATGTGCAGCAGAAGGGAAAATCCGCTGATTGAATTGGTAATTGAGTGAAAAAGCGCGCATAAATTTGTTGTTATTTTCCGCAATAGTATTGGAAACTTTCCTCAACGCAGTTCTCTTATAGATAAAGCGTTGTAAAAGGCACGTGCTTTTGGACGCTTTTTTACGCGCCGAATCGTCCGACTTTGCCCGAAATTGCGTTTCAAAGACTCCACATATACACACACCGAAAAACTCCTCTGGTGCGGGTTTATTTATAGCTTTAGCATTTTGCGACTTACAGTGTATTTTAGACACCGTGTGGCCTTTATTTCTTGACGAATGTCTTTTCTTTCTCTTTGCTCTCGGTGAAAAAGCCATCCAATTGGTGTGTCTTTTTCCTGTGACGTGCGACAGAAGATTAATCATAACTCCGGGGCGGTGGAAATGTGCAATTAGACATCTAAAAGAGGCTCACGGAAGTGATTTCGCAATTCATCGATAAATTGTTTTAATTTTAATACAAGTGGATAATTGTGAGGTTAATTGGGAGAGAGTGATCAGTTGGATGGTTTGCATTTTTCTCTCTCGAGCTCTTTTCCACCAACAATCTGGAGTGAGAGTTTCCTGGCATCTCGGCAATGGCATCGCAAGTCACGAAAGTCATTCACAGATGCGATGAGGCCCAAGAGACGCAGAAATTAGGTGAAAGAGAGGCCACTTTTCCCACTTAACAGATCAGAAAAACCATCGTGAAATAATTAATAAAGCCCCATGGGGGAATCAATTGAGTGACCTTTAATCAATTTCCCATGAACTCGTGCGTATAAGCAAACAAATATCGCTTTACTTCTCCAATTAAAACCATCTTTTTCTGCGGCTGTCGTGCTCGCGAGAATGATAAGGAAAGCAAGAGCGAATGTAGGAAGTGATAGAAAGTAGATACCACACGCGACCGAAATAAATCGCGCTCGACGGTTTCACACGATTTATGCTCTCTTGTACATACTTTTTTTGTGCCACATGATGTAATTCAATGATTCGCGGGAAAACACATGTACAAGTCGGTATTGTGCGTGAGGCCTCTCTCTCTCTTTCTCATCTTCGCCAGTTATTCATGATTACATTCAAAACTCACCATATTCGAGAATTTATTGCGAAATTCTCAATCTCTCGTGCATCTTTTGGCAAATTACGCAAATTTTACACCTCATTCAATCTCACCTTCCGCCTCGGGACTGGTAAAAAACCTCTCCCCTGTGGCCCATGAAAAAACTCTATTAGACCTCTCGAAACTTTCTGATTTATCTCACTCTGGGTGACTGAGGGGAATGATTATAAATCTGTCAGAGAATTATATATCTGCATTTGGTCCCGGAATGTTGATGGGATATTTTCCTCGTCACCTCATAAATTAATTCGCCTTTCATTTGCCTTATTGCAGACCTGTCCGAGTGCCAGCTGATGCAAGTCCCGGACGCAGTTTACCATCTAATGAGGAACACCGAACTCAAAACTTGTGATCTTAGTTGTAACGTCATCAAGAAAATTCCACCGAAATTCGCTGTGAAGTTCAGTTTAATCACAGGTGAGTTGCATCACGAGACAGATCAAGTGGGGGTTATTTTAGACACCAATCCACTAACACTTACTTCCTTGGCAGATTTGAACTTGTCCCACAATCAGATGTCGAAACTCCCTGACGAGCTGGCGGACCTGGCCCTGGAGCGACTAGACATTTCCCACAATTCATTCACCACGCTGCCCCAAGTTGTGTTCAAGATGCCCAAGTTGCGGCAACTGTACGCCAACAACAACTCCATCATCGAGGTGGAGTCCGACGAGAAGGCCATCCAGTCGGAGTCACTGGAGTTGGTGGACCTGCGGAACAATCCACTGACCCCACAGTGCTACGAGCGTCTCCGGGGCGTGAAGCTGCATTTCCACATCGAGCTGTCGGAGCGAGTACAGGAGGATTGGGAGGATCTCACAATATGATTTCAGTCTGCCTCTGATGATCACTTAATCTCTTAGCGATAGGATCGATTTGCTGTATCTTTTTATACCACACTCAAAGTGTATTTTCTGTACTTAAGGCGCGATGCTGTAGAATTATGCCAAAAATATGTATCACTCTTGAGCCACGGAGGATTCCGTCCTCTCGAAATCTAGTCTGATTAGTCCAAGGAGATGTGACTCTGGATGTGTGACTTGTAGTTGTTTTTTTTCTCTTTAACCCTGTTGTCAAAAGTGCGAGAATCCTGTACGACAATTATTGACTGTGTGGAAATAATATCAGACGCTATATCGTATGTAGGAATAATTATGCATAATATCTCTTAAATTTTATAAAAGTTGTGAACCCATCTAACCATTGTTGATAAGAAAAGAATGTGACTCTAGTGTCTTTTTCACTTAAAATATGTATATTTCTAAAACTCACGTAACAATGTTTGTTGTCTCTTTTTTGTGACAATATAGCAAAAAAGGTGGATGATCCTAGATTGAAAAAAATATTCTGTGATTTCATTGCAAATCATGCATAGTGTCTTCTTCACGTCGTATGCAAAACTCACTTTTATGACAAATTTTATGTGTCACGTTTTATGAGCGAGAAAGGAAGCAAAAAAGAGCTTAGTAAGACGAAAAATAAGAAGAACAAGAGGAAATGCGATGAAATTGAATCATGACTTGATTTAACATTAAATATACTCACAATAATCTTATCTTATTACACAGAAAATGTATAACACCTTTGTTTTTAACGTCTAATCTTGATATAGGCAAATGATTGAGAAAACCAGTAGAATTTGCATAAAAAAGTAAACAGTAAGACAACTTGTCTTTCACTTTAATTTATACAATAAAAAAGAAACACTGAGATGCGAGATATGACTCTCAAGTTTTTGTACCCATATCAATTGGAAGTGATTATAGGGAAAGAAATAATGTAACCGAACAGGTGATAAATAGATGATTGAAAATTGTGTAAAGCTGGAAAAAAGTTGACTCAAGTATTTATGTAATTGTCTCTAATGTGGTGTATTAACACTCTTTTTGATATTCAATTCAAAACCTTTGGTTCACACATTAGTTTGTAACTTACAGCATTATGACATTTAACTCTGCCTAACTGTGTTTTCTTTCCAATATGTATTGTATACTCAAATAGAAATTATGCTGTATATGCAAGTATTTTGTTATTTTCTGTATATTACTTCATGTGGAAATATATATCAATTTTCATTTACTCCATTGAATAACGTTTCAATTAAAATTTCCCATTATACACGCTGTAACGATTCTCATTTTGGTCTCCACCCGATTTTTCAGCTCCACACTCATTACACTATATAAATTGATTTCATTTCAAATTCTTCTTATATACTATATGTATATTCTTGAATATTTCTAAACACTAACAATTTATTATTGTTTACTTTTTGCTCCATTTGCAAACACTGAGCCTCTCACTGAAACTTCTTGTTTTTCCAAGTTTAAACCATATTTACTTATTGAGACTTTCCTCAAACATCTCTCTTATGCTATACTTTGCACAAACACGCACACACACAGAAACATCTAACCCACTACGTGATTTATCGTTTTTTATATCTTTCGTAGCCTAATAAATTTTATAACATTTACAATGAAACATTTTATGTAACTGCCAGCAGTTGTTCAAATATATTTTTCCCTCGTTTCTTTCTCATACAGACCGCACAAAGTGCCAAAAGTTATGCAGAAAGCACCATTTTGCAGTACAGAGAAGAAATATTACACCTTAACACCACATGCTGATCCCCACATGTACAATTCCACTCTTTGTGCACCTGACAACGGTTCTGTGTTTTTGCTGAGTGATTATTGCACAAGTTTTGAAATTGAGACAAATTTCTTACACTTCCGAAGAGTTTTACCACGTGCTCCTAATATTCAATATATTGTTTTTTTCTGAAAACTTAAATTTGATTTAATTTTGCCAAACTGTCCAGAAGTTTTAAAACTATAATATTTTTTCTGCAAATGCTAAATTGCTAGGCAATCTTGTTTAATATCAAACTTCGTCTTGGACTCACTTAGGATTATTAAGAGACACTTTCATCTGTGGCTGTTACTTCTTCACTCTCGGCAGTGTGATCTTCTGGGATTTTCTGCACCTTCGACGTCTTCTGCGGATGGTATGACTGCGCATGGTGAGTTCCTGTGAGATTGGCGATTGGAATTCTGTAGATCCGCAGAGGTTTGGGCTTCTCCACACCATCATTCTCACCACGAAGACTCTTGGACAATTTTCTGCTATTTGGAGATCCGGGTGAGTCTGTTGTGATACTCTTAGGCGAATTTGGGGGCACTGAAGGCTCCACAAGAGCTTTGTGCGGAGCAAATTCAGCCACAGTTGCAGTCTCTCCGCAAGAATTGCTCTTTGAAATGTGTCTCTTTCCAGATTCGTCAAGTTCTTTGGTTCGTTCCTTGCCTTGCAGTGATCTTGCCCGATGAATGGAGGGAAGATCCTCACCAGGACAGACAAGGAGACGATTGAGGTCATCTTTTTCATTGATTGGTACATTGTCCTCGATGTCCACTCTCTGCGACTCCTCGATCCTCTCAATTTGATTCTTGATTTCAAGGATGCGCTCTGAAGAGATATCTGCGATTCTCGGGGATTGTTTCAATTGATCCTTTGGACTCTCCGACTCATTCTCCAAGCCCTTAATGCGATTGTCCTTTGGTATAAACTCAGGGGCGGTAGTGGCGAAGAAAATGTCCTTTTTGCTTGTTATCAGCTGCAATTCCGCCATTGAGACCATGTGTACCAGATTGCCATTCACCAGCAATCGGATTTCCATTGAGTCATTCGTGAAGGCGATAACGTAAGGAAAAGCACAAATAACAGACGTTGGTGAGGAATTCCAGTGGAAGTCAAACTCCGTGTTCGGGCTGTCGTCGTCCAACTTTTGAAAGTGACATGTGTCTGAAATATGGGCAAAAGTGTTGTTTTAATTGCATTCAACTTGTCTACATGTGTAGTACTTACGGTTATAGCAGAGCAAGAGTTCAGTTTCATGGCCATCATACAAGTCTAGTGCGGCCACAAGTTGCGTCTGCGACCTCTTTGATATTTCAATCTCGTGCAGACGAAAGGATTGTCCTGTGCTTTCGCACACCACATCGAAATTGTGCTTGAAACCGCAGCAAATGATGTTACCATGATTTGGGTCCAACTTCGAGTTGGCATATCCCTCGATTATTGTCAGAATTGATGGTGTTTCATGAAGATTTATTTCCTGAAAAGCATAAAACAGGGGTGTTCACACTGTGTTTACGATAACTCAAAATCAATTGCAATTACCCGCAGGAATAGGAAACCATCTGCAGTGTAATTTCCATTATTGCACCATGTGTGCTTGGCCGCCGTATCTCTCCACTGGTACATGAGTAGCTTCCGCCCTATGGCAACGGCCATCTTCAGGTGGCCATCGCTGCCACAGGAGATACTATACAAATGAGTTCCTGCGGGATTAAGAGGATTTGAGTTTATGGTGTTGATGCCAAGGCTAACATTTCAGATGGCAAGTCTCACTCTGAGGTCACACCACACATACATTTATGCTCTTCCTGAGGCAATTTTGATAAGCTCATGCCCACTCACCATCACCCTTGCTCATCACGATTTTCCACCTCAGAGACTTACCACGCCAATAAAGGCAACATTGTATACAAATTCCCACCCTCTTCAAATTCTCCCCAGCGCGCGTCTTTTCTGCCAAAGTATCTGAAAGCTCTAAAAAAGAGCTCGTTATTTCCTGGAAATTATTTCATTAATATTTCCAACAGAAAATCTTGTCAGTACAATTTGTGGGCGAAGGGCAAATAAATCCCTGAATCGATTGAAATGCCAAGTCAAATAACCCCAACGTAAGACCTCCTAAATATCACATGTTTTCACTGAGTAATTGCAGATCCAATTAAACAACGCCTCGCTATGCTCCGTGTCTATTTATGTTCAACATTTCTCCGCATAGCTGTTGTAATGTGCAATTGTGCATAAAATGCAAGAAGTTCATGCAAATCTCATAAGCTTTGAGAGTGCTTTCGTTCTGCGCTGGAGAGAGAGAAAACTTTGAGAATTTCCCACACAACAAGCTCTCGTGGGGTTCTGACAACTTCTCTATGACTTATATTAAACTCCCAAAGCCGCAAAATTCACAAAATTACCTCATATTTATGAAATTGCGTTCTAAATGGGAGACACCAGTCTGGTGCAATGTATTCGGGAAATTAGCACTCATTACGCGGTTCAAAGTTTTTACGACTAAAAGACCATTTTGGGGGAATTAAGAAATTGTTCAAATGCTAATTATTTTAATCAGAGGTGAAGTTTGGGAATGTCTGCACGTCTAATCGTTGTGGGGAAAGGGTTGTGTGTGCTCTCTTAGATAAAGCCGTCGTTTGGCTTTTATGGATATAAAAAGGTTATTGATTTTAGAGTGCTCTGCGAACATAAATTCTCACCAACCTCTTGTCTTCTCGATTCTGTGAGCTTTCACGTCCATGCGAGTTCTGCACTTGATGCTCTCCTCCATGAAGTCCGTGAGCTGAAAGACGTAGATCCGGTGGCCATCCTTGTGCGTGGCCGCCCCGCCTCGAATCAAAACAATGCCATAATCCTCACACACACTTAATTGTCGAATGGTGAAGGTGCGATCGAAAACAATCTGATGGCTTTGGTCCTCTGTTGGCGAGAGAGCGGAAGGAAATGAATTAATAAGCGAGCGGGGGTGTTACTCGGCTATGCATGAACCTTTAATCAGAAATGTGCCCTCGTCAGTCGCCAAAAATAAAGCGTCACAGCCCCAAGAATCTCCCACGATGTTACCACGGTGGTTGAAGGCCGCATAGAAACAATGGGGCTCCCATGGTGGCCTCTTGAACACCGATCCGGGTCCTGCCGTTGCCAGGCTCGTGGGAGCATCGCCGCGTACAATCGCCTCCAGCTTTAGGGCCTGTCCAATCCTCACGAACTCCACCTGACGCGCGTCCTCCTTCAGCTTCGACGCCCGCGGGGCGTCGTACAGCACCTCAGAGAATGCACGTCGATTGAGCATCGTCTGCTGTCGCACGCGAGACGAGAGCCAATGCGGGCAGGTGGAAAAAGTTTATGAGGAAATAGCTGAGAAAGCAACAGTACAGGGCATTACCATTTTCGAGTCGTGCTGGTATTCCTCGTACAAATCCCGAATGAGCATCTCCAGCGTTCGTTGGCGCTTCTGGAAAAATGTGGGTGTCTGGAATGTTGCCTTCTCCCCATTAATTAATTTCACCAGCAAAAATTCACGAAATGTCGTGGGATTCTGAAACTCAGGTGGATCAGGGAGTGTCGGCCCAAATGGTGGAACCGTCTCATCACAGTACATAGACAATCTGTACTTTTTGCCACGTTTCGTGACGACGGCAAAAATATCTGTTCATTTTCATATGTTAAGGAAAATAATACAATATCATCCAATCATGTTATTATCAGAGTTGTGACGATAAAGGGTTTATAGATTTGTAATTGAAAATAAATCAATTCCAGTGTAAAACAACTGATTTCTCTCTCATGGATCAGTGTCAAAATGGAAAAAGATTGCGTGAATTTATATCTACACTTGTGTTTCACAAAATTTGTCTTATGTCTTATGCATAACTCTTTGCACAGCAACAGATGATATCGACGAGCTTTCAGATACTTCACTGCTCCTGAATGTGAATTATTGATCCCGACAAGGTCTTTTAAAGTCACTCAGGAGATTAATCCCTCCGAAAATATGCCCTCGGGACTTACATTTCGTCTGAGATATCATCGTTTATGCCAGCACTGTCATGACCAGAGTCGAAGACGCTCCCCATTCTTGGGGATTTATCTCCGATCTAACACAGTGGCAAATCTGTTACGCATGAAAGAGCACCATCTCCCGTAACATGTCAGGTGGGGAGTTGGGAGATCCTGTGAGGAAAAGGATACGTGTAAATTGGCTTTTGATGCAATTCGGTGAGAAATCCGCCTCGTCTCCATCCACGAAGATGATGTTGATGATATCATTTCCAATGTGTCTCTTGCGCTCAACCTGCTGCCTGTCGCGTGAGAAGGGGAGCAGTGTTGAGACGTGAAACATAATTTCGTGACCTTCGTAGATGGTGTAAATGGAGTATCTGCCCGTCATGTCGTTCTTCACATCCAGTCCGCCTTTGTACTGCTGCCACCCCTTCAAGCGGATCTTCTCACCCAGCACGCCCAGAAACTCATCAAAATCCTCACTGCCGCACTCTGCAAAATATAATTGTTTCTCACTTTTTTTTAGGAGCCCACCCGAGGGCGATTTATTTTTGGCCACGGCAAGTGGCGACGCGCACACGGAGACACGCCAAAGAATCGACACGGGGACGAGGGAGCTTTTTCGGGCCGCTGCAAGAGACCCCATCGAAGCTGAGATGTGGGTGGGATTTATTGTATAACGTGGCACACTCTAAATGTGAAAAATATAATGGCAACTCGTGCCAGAGGTGGGCCAGATTGAATTAGAAAATTTCACACTGGCAGGAGGTGACTTTCCCGCCCGAGACCTTTACGACTCACCATTGCTCAGCATTTCGTCATCGGCCTTCTGACCACTCTTCATGTACACAACGCCGAATTTGAAATTCACCGAGCCCTCTTGCTCCTCCAGCAGCAGCAGATCCTTCTGGATGTCGGCGGAGAAGAGCTCCTTGGGTGTCTTGTTGGTGTCCATGGACGGGAAGTGTGCCAGAATCTGCTTCACCGTCAACTTCTGCTGCGGATTAAATGGCAGCGCGAGCTTTTGGGCACCCTGAAAGAGAATGACTGTCACATCTCTGGCTGCGTCCACAGTCTTCCCCTCTATTTATAGAGGCAAATTAATTAATTTATATGGAAATTAGAAAAACATTTTAACTGAATAATATGAACAAGTATATGAAAGCATAAAAGAAAGCAGCCCAAAGTGGAATTTGAGGATGGGGAGACAATGAGAAAGAACAACTCAGGGAGAGATAAATAAGCTTTTAACGTGGTGCTGTACTTCAAACAAAATAGACGGGGAATGCTGTAATATTTTTCCGTCCTTTGTTAGCCAAATACAGGTAATTTGCAGTCACTATGTACTAAGCAGTAGAAGAACGCTTTATTTGCTATAAAATTGTCTCCGAGCGAGAAGTATCGAGCAGTAGAGACAAGTGTCTCAGATGAGAGCGGCAAGTCCAGACAGGGAGAAATATGAAACATTTTTCTATTAAATAACATAACAATTTTTTGCGACTCCTCACTCAGGGTGCATGAATAAAAGAATAAGAATAAATACGGCAAGGATGGCGGAGGCAGAAAAATCCAAGATATGTGGCAAATGGTTATGGTAGCAGGAGACGAAAAAGCCATGTAATCACGGTGATGGAACATAAAAAGAACAGAGAAATGGATTTCCGTCTCAATGGCGGTTGATGATGGCGAAAGGACGGAAAAAAATGAGGAGAGAAAGTCAAAAACTGTGTAGAGCAGTAAGGGTTTCATAGTCTTACCTGTTTCCTGAACAATATAACTCTATACAAAGGCATGTATTTGCTCCCTGAGTCCTGTGACACCACCGACAGGAAGTACGGCGTCTTGTCCGAATCAATTCCAACGTAGTTCTGGTGCACTGTCGAAAGGTATTGTGGAAAGGCAATTAATCCATGCTTGGCCGAATTGAATAGAGACTCAACCACTCAATCAACTCACATCTTCCGAGGAAATACTTGAAATACCATCGAGTCTGGTGCTCAGGATTCTCCAAGATGGGCGTACTCGGACTGCCAAAGACCTTTTTGCCCCCATGGAAGTGAGGTTGCAAAGAGGAAACAAAAAAACTCTCCATTAAATATTTTCCCTTTTGCCTAGCAATTAATTTTCAACTCAAAAGAAGCTTCCTTTTTCACTCTCTTTAATATTTATTACTTCTGCAGAATGTGCCGGAAATCATGGGTGAGGCACATCATAAATTGATATATACGGAAGAAATACTTGAATTAATTCCAACAACTTCGCCCAGTCTCAGTAAAATTACTCCTAAGCCAATTTGCTAGTAGCAATTCGCAGAATTCCATCCTGAAGTGAATTTATTGCTTCCCTACCTAAATTTGACCTTTGGGATAAATCAGGTGGCAAATCAGGAAGTTGCTATTGAAATAAAATTTAATCTCAACAGCATTTTGGCAAATGCAATTATCACTAATGAGAAAAGGTCATTTAATGAAAATTAATTATTCCGGATCAGACAATTTTGCTACATTTCCAATCACAATTTTGAACTTTGTTTACCAAATGCGATTTCGCAAATTGGACAAACTTTATACAATTGATGCGGAGTGTTTCATTATATAAACACATAATCTATTATTTTAAAGTTTTACTTACGCCATTAAAAATTTTAATGTCAATTTGTGAATTTTTAATTGCGTACCCCCACACAAAAGAAAATCCTTTCTCTGAAATCCCTATAAAAAGATTAATCAGACGAAGCGTACAAATGAGAGGGGGAAAATATATAAAATGTTCGATAAACTGTGAGAAATTCTATTGAATTATGGCCAGTGCTACGGACAAGTTGGTGTGTATTCAAACGTTTTCTGATTAATTACACTTACTTCATCTTTCTCTGCCATGCTTTCGCCATTCTCCAATCTGAAACGTCTGCAATTCTGGTCAAGCCCCTCCAGTTCACACTGTGGTAACTGAAATGGCATGGGAAAGCACATAAAATTCCAACTTAATAAACAAGTTTTAATTGAAACATATTTGCTGAGAACTGTAAAATATGATGAAAGTTCTGGGCACTTTGAAACCATGCGGAAAAGCTGTCAAATTGCTCGTCAATTGGTCACTTCTGTGGGATCAGACGTAGGCGTTTTCCCATCAAATCCATATCAGAGTGAATAAATTGAGAGCTTGATATCTTCCAGGGGCATCAATTCTACACTGGGAGGATCTTGTGGAGCCATCTCAATTGTTGATTTACCATTTATCCCATTTTCAATTGAATTTCTCTGAAAGAGACTCAACAGCGTCACACTCGACGGGGGGAATGTTCAGCACTTTTGCGTCAGAAAAATCATAGACACTCCCCCCAAAGAAGTTGGGGGTGGAATTCGACGAAATGCCAAATGCACGCCGTGTCTTTTCTATCGCACCATTTTTCCTCATTCTTCATCGTGTTCTTTTGAAATGCCTTTTCTCACACTCACCGGCACTTTGGAGGGGTGAAAGTAAAAGTGTTTTCCTTCCCATAGGATTTTTCATGGAAAAACCCCCTTCAAAAGAATGCGAGAGCGAGGAGGGAGAAAACATCAATCGCACCCAGGGAGTTTGTGAAGGAAAGCGAAGAAGGCCAAAATTCATTTTCCACAACAATAAAATATGAATTTTGCACTTTAGGGAAAATTTTCAAACAACTTTAGAACACCCCAAAAGCTCCTCAAGCAAGGTGATATTTTAAATTTACATACTCTTCCTATGTGGAAATTTTAATACAAAATTAATGATGTTCTGTGGGTGCATTTCACACAAGAAACATCCCACAGTTCCCTGGGAAATTGCTCCATACACTCTACCCTCAACTTTGTAGGACCAAATCATGACCCAGTTACTCCACTAACATTAGCTATGTTTGTGTTTCAATTTACAAACTAACAAATAATGTTATTACAATGTTAGAGTTTTCCATTGTCCAAGTGTCAGCCAAATTATATACCGCCGACAAAAACGTAGCTAATCTAAGATTACTAGGGATTATGTGAGCTCATTGCAGTGCATACTCATAATCCTTTGTAAAAGAATTCTTTTTAATAATTCCCTTTTATCTTCATGGCGGTTTAACATAGAAAGTAGTGAGGTTTTATAGGTATTTTAGTGAGGCTATATTCCAGCAGCATTAAATACAACGTAGAGCATTGTTTTCACCGCACAGACATTCAGTATAATGACCAGCCAAACCCTCAGTCTCACACCATCAAACTCGCAGTCATCAGAGTCCAGTTGATGTGACAAAGAAGAATCGTAAGACAGTAAATTGCGCTGTTTCTGACAGGTCAGAAATATTTCTGATTAAGCATTTAATCCGAGCTGATGGTGATACAGCGCTTGATGGCACTGCCGAGGTGCCTTGTAACAATAAACCACCGCATAGACTCTGTGTTCATCGCATTTCTCCGCTGCATCTGAGAAGATTGAGTGGCTCAGCTGGAGGGTCATAGCAGGTCAGGAACGGGTTGGGTGGACCGTATCCCCGTGGAATTGTCCTAGACACTCAAGAGCATTCATTACACACTCATCTTCCAAGGCACTTGATGTACCAAATGGTCAATAAAAGCGTCAAGAGAATGATCTCCTGACCTTTCCCCGTGGATGGACGTCGTTTTGCCGCCATCGAGGAGTGCCTTGATTAAAAAGCATATTTGCGCAACAACACCGACACTCATGTCCCCATCGTCAATCTGTCCACCTACATGATAATCCCCGCCGCATAATTCCATACATGCGGTATTATTTTCCTCACCACGCTGACGTCATTTGGACAGAGGACAAATTGGGGAAACACCATAGTGATTACGACAAAATCCTTCAACTTCCTCCTGCCGAAAAGAGGCGCCCAAAAGTGGCACTCAACAGGGAGCCAGAGGATCAATGATCCAATTATCCTTGTATTTGGCAGCCATTCACAAGGGAGTGTGACAATATTTACGCAAATCTAACGGTGGTGAATGGCTGAGTGTCTATTTTCATCACGAAAAGTTGAACGGTTATTTAAAGGTGCTCTCCTGATGGGAGGATGCTCCCAATGCCGCCCCACACCCCATTCACAGAGCACGTCTCAGTGAATCCCTGTGTAAATTGCCAAAGAAGGCAATCTATTTGGATTATCTACCTCAAATCCTTTTATTCACCACTCAAGGAATTCTTGTTGAGTTTTTGTGCAAGGAAATTGTATTCATTCCTTCTCCCTTCCTGGTAAAATTCTTGAGGAGACTGAGAGGCTTGGTGTTACATTCTTGCGGCAAAGTGCACAGCAATACTTCAAGAGGATATATCAATACTGATCTGAAGGTTTTCAGAGTGTTTCAATTTTGAAAAAAAAATTCTCGCGGAATTGTTCCTGAAAGCTCAATTTGTTGTTGAAGAATACAAAACCCAAAAGCAAATATTCATCCCACATTCTTCTATGAGTCGCTTCAAACATTCGCGCAATTGTTATTCTAACATTTATTGTTACACACAAGCTGTAAAAAGTACTTTATCAATACAGACAAACAGTCAAATTTTAATAAAAACAACATAAATTTGATGCATGAGTTTCAATTCGAACTTGATAACGATCTTTTCCAGTGACCGTAGCGAAAAGTATTTTAGAAATTGGTTTCCCTCTCATCCACCCGCAATTTCATCTGCAAATTCACTTCCTCAGGGTGTGTATTTTGCCAGGAAGCAACCTTCTCCGTCGTCTTCCTATTGATAGGCAAAAAAGGGAGTGAGCTTCTGGCCAGGGAGCTTTCTCATCGCCTTAAATTGAATTGTGCTTAGTGCCACTGGCGCAGTGACAAATGAGAAATTTCCAAAACAATGTCACAAACAAATCAAATTAATTTCCCTCCGCCGAAGGGAAATGATGGTGTTTTGTCTCCATCGACACGGTTCTGGTACGAAAATCTTCACCCTTACATGATTGAGTTATAATTAAGTGCTATAATTTCCCAAAATTTGCACACCAAGTGAAAGTGCTTCCCACCGAGAATTTATCAATTTTCCCCAGCTTGAAGGTGGCCTTACCTTATCAACAGATCCATAATTACGCCTGGCGAAAACACCACGACGAGAAATTAATTCTGTTGCTGACGAACTGCAAATTAACAGAGAATTGTGTTAGTTTAGTCTCCAACGTGGGAATAACAATGAATACTAAATTTATTCCAACCCACAACGCTGATTTTTCACTGGCCTATGTATTAAGTGAGTGAAATAAATTCTGGGAAAACTCATGGGGGCGCTGAATGCAGCACAGTTGAAAGTAAGTAGAAAACATAACTCATACTGCTACCTTTTTTTATTGAATGTAATTAAATCGTGTTTTTTTTGCTCCACAGTATATGTTTGCATACTTGATTTTCTCCCGCACGTGACGTGATGAAAATCACAAAGGAGACTAACAATTTTAAAATTTGTTAGTTCCAAACTCTCACTTTGTAATGAATTGCTCAATCATCTGCTCAAATTGCTTCATCAGGGAAAAGTTCTCGCCCTTTTTCTCCCTCGCAGGAAGACAAAATGGAATTTTGATTAAAAATATTATATGTAAATAATCTTTCCAGTCTTTAAGATTTCAATTTATGCCGCTCACAAGTGGGATGAAGCTATTTCTGTTCATACACAGATTCATTTTGATTGCCAATAAATTCACTCTGGGGTGAAGATCTCGGGGAAAAAAACGTGGGGAAAATCTCGCAGAGTTCGTGGCATCAAAAGCTCTCTCTCTTTTTCTTGTCACCGCGTGAGTTGCCCTTTCTGGTTGAAAAACCATCACGTTTTTCCACCGAGATACGATGCGAAAGAAAACTTTTTTTTTCGGGGAGTGGAAAAAGAGTCATTTTCCTAACATTATCAGCAGAGATTGCGGCGTCGAGATATAGCTTTCAGGCGTTCAGAAATTGTGTGTTTGATCGTGGGAAATCCACTTGCTTTTGATGAAAATGGGAAAACGAGTAGGCAATCTGTTTATTGACTATTCAACGACATTGTGATTGTGCTGATCAAATAATCGGTTAATTGGATAAACACCGCTCACGTTAATTGCTTCTCCCTCTAATCTGCTCAATCTAGGGTGGTTCTCCCTACACACCCGTTCAGTAGGCACTTTCCCACGGAAGAATAAATTTCCCACATTTCATAATCTCTACAGTGTCCCCATTTTTGATGTGCCATCGTAAAGTTTTTAGGGAAATTGTTGAGCATGAATTTTTGGGATTCGTACGCTCATGGGATCCAACGAGGCTTTCCATCTGTATGATCATCCCATAAGGGAATTCTCCCCTAATTTTATGGATATCTGCAAATATCCTCATATCTCTCATTTAAACACATTTCTGTAGCAACGAAATAAAACAGGACTTATATGGATTTTCAAATGAACTGTATTCTCAACATCAATTTCCATCTCGGTTGAAATGCTTCATCTTGCCAAAGTTAAATTTCATCTGTTTGTTTTCTGGCAATTATGCATATTTTCCCAAAAGCAGAGAAACTTTTCAATGCTGAAGATAAGTAATTTTTTTTACACATAATTATGGGAAGTTAAAATGTTTCAATTGTCAAACTTTCCAAGATTTCATGTGCTACAATGACTACAATACAATTTCAAGAGTAAAGTAGTGAAATACTACATGTGCATGTGTGATTTAATGAACTCATTTACTCATTTAGTAGTGTTTATCTGACACTCAAGGAAAAGAAGAAATTATATTAATTTACCAAGCGCATGTTCTTGGCAAATAGTTCCATTTTAACCTCTTATTCGCTCAAGAAGCTACATCTGTCGAAAATAAAATGCATGACATAACGGCTTTCGCTGGAAAATGTATTTTCTGGATCCGAAGAAACGTCGAGCAAATGTACGAAAGCTTTTAGGATATAAAATTGAATCCTTTCTCTTTAGCTTTAGTTTCACCACAAAAATTTCCGCTTTTTCTTATTTGCGCTGCAAGTTATTTTCTCCTTTTACCAGAGCAAATATTCTGGAGAGTAATTTCAATTTAACACTGTATGACTGGGCTTATCAAAGTCAGAGTGGAAACTGCGGAAACATCACCGCAGGAATCCAAATTGTCAACAGCAAAGAGCCATAATGCTACAACAAGGGAAATCAATTTAATATTTGCCCTGTGAGCCATTGTACACACTGTTGGGTGTGCACTTTCAATATTGCATGGAGATTATGTAGGATCACGCGAGTGCTTTTCACCACCCAGCGTGAGAAAACTCTGAGGAAATCCTGTGAGGATCATCGGTGAGTCTGAGGGTGGGCGCCCGAGGCATGGTGTGCAATTAGATGAAATGTGCAACTTTGGCTGCGGGAAATGTTTAAGGAGAGCGCAGCACGTGTGGGTGGAAGGATCTGTGTGGAAATGACATGATATCGAGTGAATGGCATTGATTCCTTGGCTTACATCACGCTCGATGCCCTCCGCTGAAGCACACGCAGCGCCCCAATGTCACGGTGAGGAGGCGTTCTGGGCGGTGGGGTACACAGACTCTGACTCCGATCTCGCACAGACTCATCGCGATATGCACGGAAGATTGTGGCAATTTTGAGATTGAAGCACAGCATGGCTCGTGAGCATCTGGCGTGGTCTGGCGGGGTGACTAAATTAAACTACTAATTGCAATCTCCCTCGACTTGAGCAATTTTTCACACACCCTTATCGAGTGCTCTATCTAATCACAGGTAGGGAGCACGCCTTATCGCTGTGTGCACGATTTGGGATTGCCGAAAAAGTTAATAGCATTTAATTAAGAATTTCCCACGGTGTGGTCGTGCAAATGTGGCTCAAGGAGAGTCTCGGTGTGTCCAATTTTTAGTTTTTTGTTTTTTGAAGGCAATCCTTTTTGGCGTCCCCGAAATTAGGACAATTGGATGGAGTTCAAAGCGTATATCTGCGAATCGGCGATGTGTTTACGACCCAGAAACCTCATTGCACCACTTTTGGACCATTTTTCAGGTGACGCACCCCGTGATAATCCTCCGCTGTGAAAAATTCTATTATAACACACTGTGGCGAGAGCTTTTCACACTCGTTCACCCAATGATTAGTGAGTTGGAAAGCAGTGCGGATTGCATGAGAGAATTGTCCATTGACCCTCTTGCATTTCTGTCACAACTGCATTCTAAAGTCGGTTAATAAAATGCTAATTTTTCCACAGTTCGCATTTAATGTGCAATAAAATGGATTTTGTCGTGGCACACACATTAAACATGACACAAATTCACCACTATTCACTGTCTCTGCAATGGCAATCTTATATTGTGCGGCGGAAGTGCAAGTGAGGAAGGACATTTGCCTGAGGAATTTTAATCAATTTCATTTCAGCTACTCAAATTCACTCGTGAAATATATAGCACAGAAATTCATGGTATAGAGTCAATTCGTGATAAGAAGATATTCCAAAGCTAAGGAGAAGCGCTCGTGTTATGTCTTCAAGCTCTAGTGAAAAACTGCTGGTAAAACGACGATTTATTGAGATTTTCACACAACTTTTCCTCTCATTGAGGCACGCACACCAATAGAGGCGACCACATGGAATTGTCAATGCTCCCCACTCGAAAGCTCCACCAGAAACCCCTCATGCGTTCTCGCGAGACGCACACGAGGTTTGTTCTATGAGAGAGAATGAAATCACTAAAATCTCACTCGCACATTCCATCTCGACTGCCCAAACGTCTGTCGTTCTCCCACCTGCAAAAGGAGCTTTCTTTGATGTCCAAAAAAGCGCGTGAGAGAGTGCGCGCGCACCCAACAGCCGCATGGAAGATTTCCCCTCTTACGCACGATTCACGTTGTGCCTGAGCTTTCGCCCCAATTGTGGGTTTGCGCCATGGGTGAGCTTTTGGGGCAAGTATGACTTTCAAAATCTGTAGCTTCATCTCAACCCCCAGAAGTGTGTAAATTTCTCAAGACATGTCTTTATGAATGTTTACAGGCGCCCCAAAAACATTATAAATCATTTATCACGCGAATTAGCGACTGTCGAGAAGCTTTTTGCATCATCCAGACTTTGGTTGCCGCAAAAATCATATAAATGTAAATACACTGTTTTGGGGAGAGTAAGTATATTTTTCCACGGTTGGATTTCACGGACTTTTCACCGCACACGCGGATGGACTAACGTGAAAATATGAAGCAACATTGATTACATTATTCATAGCATAGCTTATGAATGGCCTGAGGAAGTTTGATGCTTATAAACATGAACAATGCGAATAAATGGACTAAAAAGGCAAATCTCCACTCTCGGCGCTGCTGGTAAATGATACTCTCGTGGAAACTTTGCTTTCCCTTCAACCAATTCTTTTTCACTCTTTATGAAATGAGGAGGTGAACTTTCGCATAAGGCGAACCGATTTATAAGGATAACATGATTTTATTTTAATTCAGACGTGCAATGCACAGAAGCCTCGATTTCTTGCTCTTAATTTAATAAACTCTATGTAATTATTGGATTCTGCTTTAATGTGTAATTCTTGAATTGCTCACATAAATATTTATACTAATGTTATACACATTTCCTATTGACTTGTCCGCATCGTAACCAGTCCGGAAATTTAGGACGACCGCACTTCGAGGAAATGTAACATATATGCCTACTTCCGTTCAATTCAGTTCAATATCTGTGAAATGCTCCTTAACCAACACAGTCAGTGGTCGAAGCGGAGGAAAAATCCTCTTTCAGCACGATACTTTGTGCGTCTCAACTCCAATCACCCTGGGGATGTTTTAGCAAATGGTGAGTGAGAGAGACAGATTTCAGGAAAATATGTATTTTATTTTGTGTGCTATTGAAGCGAATGACTATTTCATTTTTGTCTCTTAATAAAACATCAGACAGACGTAAGTTGATGCTTCCATTTCTTTACTCTCTCTTGTGTTTTTCACTATGGATTCACGTGGAAGCGGCAAGAGAAAAAAAATGATAATCAAGGACAAGAGCATGTCAAAGTATTTTTCTCGGAGGGTCTTTCCACGAAGTCTCCTTGAAAACTTCAAGCATATGCATCGTTTTCATTCGAAGAACCCTCGAGACTCGAGTGGAGCTCTCAAGGGGGATTGTTTTTCATCTGATATTTCAGAGTGTTTGTCCAGTATTTAGCTTTTCTCCGAAATGTCTATTAACTCTGCCGAAGGTGAAATCAATGCTGATTTTGTGAATTACCCAAAAATGGCCCTTGGACGATTTATAGAAAGTTTATTATTGCCCCTAAACAGATTGCATCTTAGTATGCAAAGTAAAATTAGTTAACAAAATCTGAACATTGTCTCTCATAATTTTAAACAAGCGTCTCCCACCTTAACTCTGTCTTTATTACTCTTTCCTTCTGCCCTGGAGATAGATAAGGTATTTAACTTATAGCAGAGACTCGTGCGACCGTTTATAAGAGCTGGCAAAGTTTCTGTGACAACCACTTGTTATCCGCCAGAACACACACGCAACAGGAGATGAAGAGAACTTTTTGAAATCATTTCCCATCAGGGAAGAAATTCCATTTCGCTGCAAGCTTGTCTGCCACATTATTTCTTACCTTTTGCTACTCGTGCGTGATATTAGGTTGCCATCTTCAATTGCTGTGCTGCGCAATTTGAAGCGCGACCGCAGAATCCTCTTTGATCTCTCCTCGCGCTCTCTCAACTCCTTTGGGCTGCCTTCTGGGGTTCTGCTGAGGCGCATCCGAACAGCCAAATTGGGTGGCGACTCTGACCGTGTGGCCAGACTCGATGGCAAGCGACTGGATGATGAGACAATGGCGTGCCGACGCGAGAATTGCTTCGGCAGAGTTTGCACGTGTTCCGGTAACGTAAAACTCGATGTTCTGGCAAATTGTGAATCGGAGCGACAAGAAGTCCTCTCAGATGTCACGGCGACGTCATCGAAACTCGCTGTGCCAAAGAACTTGAGCTCCTTTCGTGTTGTGGGACGTCTCTCGCCACCAGGCATTCTCGACCTTCTCTCCTCGTTCATTGCGCTCCTTGACATGTTCAATCAACAATCGCAACCCTAACGGGGATTTTCATTGTAACATCATGCGCCTTTGATCTCCTCGGCGTCTCCGCGCAAAGAGGACGGATGAATTAGCGACAGCACGAGGGATGACGGTGGCAACTTTGAGCCGCCGATGTGGAGGTGTGTTCGGCGGAAAAAAGTTCCTCGAAAGATCAACTCATCACGAAAAGGTTACTAATGAAACAGTGGCCCAGAGTGTGTTAAAAAGCGGCCGAGAATAATTAATTACAGATGGGCGAAGAGGAGTGAGTGCCAAGCATAAAAGTTCGATGGAACTTATTCGATGTGGTAACGCCATGGGTATCAAGCCCTCTGCCAAGGTTTTACCCCCGTTTCACCCGCACGAATTAATTTCGACAAACCTCCCGGTGTCGTTACAAGAGAGGGTTTTAGTACAGATGAAAGATAAGGAGGGTGAAAAATTAGATGGCAAGCCGCCTACAATTCATTAATTTTCCTCCACTCCTCTTGGCAAAACTTAACAAGCTCCCCATGTAATGGCCTTTGAAGGAACATACAAATATCTCACTGACGGAGAAATTGATCTCAAATCCATTCTATGCAGGGCTGCGTGAGGAGTAAATATGGGCACAATATGGTTTTATCAATGCTGTAGCACAGGAACTGCGAAGCGAAAGCTAATCTCACAACGCAACTCATCAAAACTACACAGAGGAAGTGAAACTTTTCAAAAATACCCAATATTTCCTGTAATCCTCAGCGAGGAGAGAAAAGCGCACATTGAGAAGTTGATACAGATATTTGAGCCTTATTTGGACGGCAAGAAATATCCGTTTGGAAAACATGGTAGAGCCACTTTTCCGACGTTTAATAAGACGTGTCACGCAATTGACGGCGAAGCGAATGGAAATGTACAAATAGTGGTGCTTTATGCTCTCTCCTTCCGCCGGAAAGCTTCGCCTCTGGGGCTGTAGAATCGGAAGCGAGAATACGGCTAGGGAATGATGCTTGCGAGCGGAAGGGCTTCGTCACTTCCTCGTATGATGAAAGTGCGAGAGATGAACTCCCATGATTTCGCCCTAGAGCACAGGATAATAGCGTGGATACGAGAGACGTGACAAAAAGGGAAGCATTTTGGATAAATTATTCACGAGCCGACTACTAAAAGTTCATCTCTCTGTCTCGCAAAGTACACTAACCCAGTTTATCCGCTGCTTTATTAAATTAAATGATCTCCCGTGCATTAAAAGCTGCACCACCATGAAACATCCTCATTCAGCAGTGCTAAGCATGATACTTGTGCACAGCACTGTTGCTATCCCGAAAGCATATTCTCATATTGGGAGTTAAATCCTCTGCCCGTCGAATCAACACATTCTTTTCGGCGTGAATTTTTCGCTGACTGCCAAAAACGTGTTCGGAATAATAAGTTGCACGAGTTGTGCTCCAGAGTGAGTGGGTGGTGACTTAGTCCCGGTGTCTCTGGTAGTGCTTTTGCTATTCTTCCTGTCAAATAATGCGCGAGTTGCATAATATATTTCTCAGACGGGGAATCTTCTCTGTTTCTTTTCCATTTTCATATCCTTAAGAGACGCGTTGTATGAGCCATCAGAATTTTCAGCGGCGGCAGTGAAGCAAATAAGCGTAACCATTTCTTTCATATGCTTTTGATATTCAAAAGTATTTGAGGTGAAATTGCCATGCAAAGAAATTTCACTTTGCAGTAAACAGCCGGCAAATTCTACGCCCACGCAGAACTCTAATTCAAAATGTAGTGTTTGAGCGAAGATTAGGTTGGCGCAGGATGTGACT